GCCGTTTATTAAATTAAATTTTGATAACAGTAGCATATATATATGGATCTTCATATGATTTAATTCTTTTACCTAAAATTTTAATTTGTGTACATAAAATAATACAACACATAATTACAATCGACCAATCACAGTCAAGTATTTAAAAAATTCTTAAATGTAATAATTGATCGATTTGCTTGCAACTTTGCGATTACCATTTAGTAAGTTACCATATATAACTATTTTTACTGTTGTATATAAAGGTCATTCATACATTGATGGTAATCACAAAGTCGCAAGCAAATCGATCAATATTACATTCAAGAATTTTTTTAAATACTTGACTGTGGTTGTGCATAAAATGTAAGCTCCTTATATTAAAATAATGTATAATTATTTTTAAAAAGTAATTGAAAAGTAACGACTCGTTACTTTTTGAGTAACTGTAACTGTAACGAGTTATTTTTTAAATCGGTAACTTGTAACTGTAACTAGTTACTGTTTCAATAAGATAACTGTAACTGCAACTAGTTATTTTTACAAAGTAACTTTCCCAACCCTGATTATAGTGCATAATTGAGATAAGAAAAGGTATTTTTTAAATCTATTCTTTACAGCTCTAATTTAAATGCATGTTGTGTTTTACATAACATTGCTTGTAAATGGAGAATTCCATTAAATGAAGTATATTTGGAGGAATAAGGAGAAGTGCCGATACCATTTAATGATATAATATAATGCAAGCAGAAGAAGTACGAAGAAATATTGTGCGATGGTATTTTGAATAGTATATATATATATTTATATATATTTTTTTTTTGCACATAAACGGTACACTGATCTACTTATCTATACTTATCTATACTTATACTATACTTATCTATACTTATCTATACTTATCTACTTATCTATACTTGTTCTTCCATCACCATTGTATTTTCAAAAAACCGTATAACAAGTTTCCTAATAAAGTATACCGTCTATATTACAAGAATGGTTTATTAGGTATTGTCTTTGAAAAATATATTTAGCCACAATTTATGTTCCAGAATTTATAAAAAATTTTAAATATCAATTTGTAATAAATTGCTTGGTAGCACTATATTTATATATATATTTATCACATAAATTGTATCACAAAATTAGTACATTTCATAATCTTATAATAAATTAATAATTAAGATTATCACAGTACATTTCATCAAAATCTTAATAAAGACAACTTTTGTAACACGTGTTAATTTTATTTCAATCTTTTCGAAAGCAAAATCAAAATCAAAATGAACTAACAAATCATATTAATCAAAATCTTAATAAAGACAACTTTTGTAACACGTGTTAATTTTACTCAAATCTTTTCGGAAGCAAAATAAATCAAAATGATCTAACAAATCATATTAATCAAAATCTTAATAAAGACAACTTTTGTAACACGTGTTAATTTTATTTCAATCTTTTCGAAAGCAAAATCAAAATCAAAATGAACTAACAAATCATATTAATCAAAATCTTAATAAAGACAACTTTTGTAACACGTGTTAATTTTACTCAAATCTTTTCGGAAGCAAAATAAATCAAAATGATCTAACAAATCATATTAATCAAAATCTTAATAAAGACAACTTTTGTAACACGTGTTAATTTTATTTCAATCTTTTCGAAAGCAAAATCAAAATCAAAATGAACTAACAAATCATATTAATCAAAATCTTAATAAAGACAACTTTTGTAACACGTGTTAATTTTACTCAAATCTTTTCGGAAGCAAAATAAATCAAATGACCTAACAAATCATATTAATCAAAATCTTAATAAAGACAACTTTTGTAACACGTGTTAATTTTACTCAAATCTTTTCGGAAGCAAAATAAATCAAAATGATCTAACAAATCATATTAATCATATTATTCTTAAATTTGTCAGACAGTTTATGGTGAATCTTGAAAATTTATCAAATACTGTCCACTTCTCGTATAGATAATATATTATTATTTAAATTCTGTAGTTCTTGCAGAATACCTTTATCAACTGCTAATTTTTCTTTGTTTAATTGTAGTTTTTCTTGTTTTAGTTCCAACATTTTTTGTTTTAAGTTTTCCGATATAGAAGATTTCCTTTCTAATAAGTTCATTGCAGTCGTCATAAGTTTTGGTTTCTTTATACCTAAATAAAGGGATGTTTGTAAAAAAAACTGAAAATTTATAACTAAAACTTAAAACTTATATGTGTAAATATTAATACATTTTTTAGTTTTCGTACCTTCTGAATATTTTGTCGATGCAAGTCCCTTAGCACTTGGAGCTGTATAGATTGCCTGAGTATCTTGCTCCTATTAATTATATAAAAACATAATATGAAATCACATTCAGGATTTCTAAAAATTGCAATACTATATCATAAAAAAATGATAATACATACTAAAGCATTATCGTCGTTTTCATTAGATGATGAATCGAATACATTGGTCATAACTTTTGGTTTCTTCGTACCTAAACAAAGGAATGTAATTACAATATTTATTATACATGTAAATATTAATATATTTAATATAAATTAGATTTTTTAATACCTTTTAAATATTTTGTCGATACTAATCCCTTTGCTGAAGCTGTATAAATTGCCTGATTATCTTGCTCCTATTAATTATATAAAAATATAATATGAAATCACATCTAAGATTTCTAAAAATTGCAATACTACATCATAAAAAAATGATAATACATACTAAAGCATTATCGTCGTTTTCATTATCAGATGATAAATCAAATACAGTGTTCATAACTTTTGGTTTCTTCGTACCTAAATAAAGGAATGTAATTAAGATATTTATTATACATGTAAATATTAATTTTAATATAAATTAGATTTCTTATACCTTTTAAATATTTTGTCGATACAAGTCTCTTTGCACTTGAAGCTGCATAAATTGCCTGATTATCTTGCTCCTATTAATTATATAAAAATATAAAATGAAATTCTATCTACGATTTCCAAAACTTACAGAATTATTTATTACAAAATTGCAATATTATTTATAAAAAGAATCGTAGTACTTACTGAAACGTTATTGTCTTCAATTTCAGATGAATGGAATATTTCATTGCTAAAATTATGTAGTGCCAAATCCTGATTTGGTATTCGAGGTGAAATGGGTTGAGAACATAATATCAACTGATTTGGCATTACATCTTCAAATCCGCCTTCAGATATTCCTGATAGGCCAGTAGCGTCTGGAGTTAAAAAGTCCAATAAACTTTGTTCAATTAATGTTAATTGTAGATTTTTAGCAGGTGATCCACCACCTGTTCCCATCATATGTGTCTTCTGTTTTGCAATTTTCTTTAATGTGTTGGATTTCCAATCTCTCCACGTCTAAATAAAAAAATAAAGATCAGTGATGAATAATAATTTAAAATACTTAAAACTCAAAAACAAATATTACATAAAATTAAATATGTTGATGTAAACTAACTCGCTACTTTATCACAGATTTTGTTACAACTATTAGATTTATATAAAACACTAATAAAATGTAATAAAATTTACCTTGGCCCATTCTTTAGCTGATTTGCACGGCCCACATCCAGCTGTATTTAATATTTTTGTTAATTTTTCCCACAGTTCATCCTATAAACGTTTAGAAATTAAAGATTGTTAAATCATATTTTTAGGAAATCTAAAATAATATTTATTACGTTATTAATCGCAATATCCATTACTTACCATTTTTCGCTTATTTTCATTATTGTATCTTATCCGCCCCCGACCGAAATCAGAATGTTTAGTCATAAAATTTAATATAATTTCTTTTTGTTTCTCTGTAACATTCATTCTTATTCACAGAGGTTATAAAGATAAAGATATCACTGAAACATATATGCATGCATATACGCTTTACGGAGTATTCACAATGGTTTGTACTCCCGTGAATCTAGGGATATCGTATTTTCACCTTGCTCATAGCCAATCGCGTGTATTTCTTCACGTGAAATGAATGTGCGAAAAGTGAGAAAAATCGACACAAATAGACAATCGATCCCCTGGTTAGTTCCGCTAGTTACATGCCGTCTCTGGGGTCCCTAGATGGCGCCTGATTGGTCGCGTGGTTAGGACTAGATAGAGATGTTTGGTTCCTAGGTAGAGGACCCCAGATCTGGCGATTTTATCTATTAATGTTAAAATAGTCAGATTAGAGCGATTAGTAAAGTATAATGATTGTTAATAATTTTATTTCTACGAGAATATGAGTAGCGCGCAATAGTTATATTGAAAAATAAAAATTTTAAAATAGACGGGACGTCACAATAGATTCTCGCAAGAAATAATGTTAGCGCGAAAAAATTAGGGTTTCGACCAATGGCAGGACGTCACACGAGATTGGATGGCTGAGTGTAAACTAGGTCAGTGTTGATGTTGATTGGTGTTTTTCTTCTCCCTCTTTTTCCTTTCTAACCTTAATATATTTGCAGTATAGCAGCGAGCAATTGTACGAACGAAAAAAATGCATATTTAAAATTGTGTAAAGAATGACAAATTGTTGGCGACAAACTGATTTATGTGCAAGCAACGATGCTTCCAAATGAGGTTAATAATAATCTCTCTCTATTTATCTCTTTCTATGCCGATGAGATATTTGTTATTAGCTGTATTGCTCTGTTGCTCTCATGTTATTTCCCCGAAGGTCCTGTTGTAGGTGAGATACTCATTCGATGTGAACGTAACGGGAGGCAGTTTGAACCATCTTCACGCACGCACGAGAAAAAATGTACTGCCTACAGTGGCTGATTCCGGTGCTGCTAATACCAAAACCTGTGAATCCGGCGCTGCTGCAAACCCACGTCATGTTCATGGCGCTTTACCTGATCGGATTCTTCCTAGAGCGTAAGCCCTGCACTATTTGCAGCCTCGTGTTCCTCGCTGCTGTCTTCCTCATTTGTTACAGCGGCATAGGCAACTGCCTGCTATGGAGCACAAATTGCGACACAGTGAGATGCGATAATGGCTAAGAATGCGCTTTATTTATTTTAGAGAATTATTTTTATCTCCTTTTTATCGATTTCCATCGTTTCTACTTCCTTGCTGTAACAGAATTTTGAAGTGAAGTCCTGTGCACAATAAAGAAAATGATAGAAATAGGAATAAATATTAAACATTAGAAACAGAAATTATATAGGAATTACTTTATTTCAAAAATAATAGAGAAAATATTTGGAATAAACTAAATGTTAATTTTTAGGAACTATTTTATTTCAAAACACTAATCGTGTATTAGTTTATTTTGTTTTCTTGTTTTGAGAAATAAAATAATTTATAATTCCTATTTCTAATATTAAATACTTATTTTTATTTGTAACATTCTCTCTATTGTTTCTTGAAATAAAATAATTTTTATTCTTAATATTTATTGATAATTACATATGGAGCACAAATTGCGATATAATGAGATGCGATGTCTAAGATCGCTCTTCTTTCTAGAATTATTCTCCTCTCTTATTGATTTCCATTATCTCTACTTCCTATAACAGAATATCAAAGTGAGACTCTGTGCACAATAGAAAAAATATTAAGTATAGAAATAAATATTTAATATTAGAATTAGGAATAAATATTAAATATTAATAATAGAAATTAGGAATTTATTTCTTAAAACACGCTAAAAATTCTTAGATGCCATTTCAAAATAAAAAAATAATAAAATTCTTTAATGCCATTTCGAAATAAAAGACTGCGGCGGGAACTCAGAAGTTTTAATACATATTTAAAAATTAAAATTGTTAGTTTTTTTTCTTTTTTTTAATTTAATTCTCAATGCATTGTATGTTAGTAGATTTCACTTCTTTATTTTGAGAAATAAAATATAATTTCTAATTTTTCTTCCTAATATTAAATATTTATTCTTGTTCTTGACATTCTCTTAATTTTTTTAATAAAATAATATTTATTTCTTTATATATATAATAGTTTCTATTCCTAATATATTTATAAGCAATGCTGCTGGAGCACAAATTGCGACACAGTAAGATGTGATATCGCACTTTATTTATTCTAGATAATTATTTTTGTCTCTACGGATTTCCACTGTTTCTACTTCCTTTCTATAGACGACTTTTAAAATGAGGTCCTGCGCACAATAGAGAAAATGTGAGGAATTATTTTATTTAAAAAGATACAATGTGTGGAGGAAATTTTAGGAATAGGAATGAATATTAAATATTATGAATAATAATTTTCCTAATAATTTATTATTTATTTCTACTCCTAGTATTTTTTTTATTGTGCGTAGAGCCTAGCTCTAATCGATTACTGTGCTTCATCCATAATACTATGCTAGGCAGATAGCTTTTAAATTTTTTCGGTTTATAGCTAGTTGTCAAAATTTCAGTCTATGTATTGTATTGTAATATAATGTTATATAATGTTGAACACTTTAACACATTGAATTTGTGTGTTTTAGATTATTTATAGAATTCTAAATAACAGGACTAACAAAGATATAGTTCAATGAAATTTGTACACAGATACTAGAACTATTACAATATTTAAAGGTTGTACAAACTCTAGAATTATTACAATGGTTAACAAAAGTAAAGTAAATTTAAAAAATTCTAGTGCAAAATTCTAATACTTTTACTCATCATTATATACAAAAAATAGAAGTTTTATATTTATTGCTAGATTATGCATTAATAATATATTTTTTCATATTTCTCTAACTTTTACATGCAATTCTAATGTCTTTTTATAACAATAATGATATAATGTGATTTTTTCTTTTTAGAAAGAATAGAAATTGATTTTCTTCCTTACAAATGCTTGAAAAATAATTGTATAAAATTACAATGTACTTTATTAAAGTCTTGCTTTGCTTTGAATAATATGTAAATGAATATTGTACTACGTAATATATAATATTGTTAAATTTATTTCAATTAAAAATAATGTGTTTATATTAAAACAACATAAACATAATGTACAAAAATCATTAAAATTTAAGATATTATTCAATTAATTTTGAAAAGATATAGACAAATTAACAAAAATAGGAAAAAAATATTTATAAAATATATATTAATCAATTTTAGAACTTAAAAAAAATGATGAAACCTTTATTGAATGATTGTTATGCATTAATTGCACTGATTTTTCAAACAATTTGTCAATATTTAATATAATTTGATTTAATTGCAACTTGTGTTAACCGCTTTATGTTGCCAGGAATATAAGTTATATTTATAGTTATAAATAGAAAAGAAAAAATTTGCCAGATTACGATATTTTAAAGAGATTTAAGTGATACAAACTCTGTGCTATAATTTATAATTCTAACTTACTCTATCTATGAATAGATATCAAACTTAGTATAAGTATTTCAGAGTATATATAATGTTACCAATGTAAATATTGACAGTTATGGTAACAAAAGAAAAAAATATTGTCGATAATAACTTAACAAATACAAATAAACATTGAATTAAAAGTTAGTAAATATTTTATATGTATCTTTATGCTATCGAAAATCAATTATATTCCTACATATATCCTGTAAACTTATATTGACAAGTAATACTTTGATATTAAACCAAAGAACTTAATTCTTCACAGAGAATTGCGAAAAAATTTTAGGAATATTTATTAAAATTTTTAAATTGTAATCGTGTGTGTGTGTGTGTGTGTGTGTGTGTGTGTGTGTGCGTGCGTGCGTGCGTGTGTGTGTGTGTGTGTGACAAGAATTTGGACTATACATATAAAAATTATCTGCTGTATAAACACAAATGTAGAAAAAATTTTGAAAAATCTTAATTTACTTTAACAATTATATAAAAACATAATAAATTTACTTTACATTTAAACACAATAAATTTCCAAATATATTTGAACTTTGCTGATATTATTCTGTAATCTTTGCTTCCAACACATGTAATTTAATATATATAAATTTTAGAAAAAAATCACATGTCTCTCCTTCATGTATATAATTACTCATATATAAGAGTGTTTCAGAAGGAAAGGTACATATTTCAGGAGGTTGTAGTATGGACCTTTTTGAGTAAAAAAATTCATATTAACATGTGTCCAATTTTCAATAGGTGTGGGGTTACAGCTGTTTGAATATTAAGCATCAACGAAATCTGCCACTAATGAACAAGAGTATAAAAATGACTTATTTCTGCAAAAAACTTACAATAATTAATGAAGACCACATGAAGAACTTACTGATGAAAATACAAAAAACTTATTGGTGCTTTTATTGATGCAAAAATCCTACAAACATATTTAAATAACATAGATTTTGCATCAATAAAAGCACCAATAAGTTTTTTGTATTTTCATCAGTAAGTTCTTCGTGTGGTCTTCATTAATTATTGTAAGTTTTTTGCAGAAATGTCATTTTTATACTCTTGTTCATCTGTGAAAAATTTCGTTGATGTTTAACATTCAAACGGCTGTAACCCTACAACTATTGAAAATTGGACACATACATGTTAATATGAATATTTTGCGCGAATAACTTTTTACTCAAAATGGTCTATACTACAATCTCCTGAAATATGTACCTTTCCTCCTGAACACCCTATATAGTATTATTATTATTTAGTCAAAGGATCATAAGAAACGTTCAATAAAATTAAAAGACGAATAATTTAAAAATAATTTTGTTTTTGGGTTCCTTCCAGTCTTGTACGATTTTGTATAAAATAATTTAAATATATTCTTTTTATAGTACATATAAGGTAAAAAATTGAAAAAAGCATTATTTGAATTAAAGGACACAATATAAAAAAACGTGATATATTTTAGAATATTTATTTAGATTCATTATATATATAAAAAGAAAGCTATTGAAGAGCTTTTCCACGACCGAAGCCACCACGGAATTCGAGGTCACCGGTACCTGCGCCTACATCAGCCTTCTTGTCACCGGCGCCTGGAGGACCACCTGGACCTCGCCTGTATCCCGCGCGATCCTCCGTTGGTCTCGAACCTTCGCTCCTGGTCGCGGCAGGTCTCGGTCTCGTGGTTTCAGACCTCGGTTGTTTCTTGAGAGTCGAGGGCACGATTTCAGGCGGTAGATGCAGGTATCCACGCAAATATTCAATACCATCATTTGTAAGGTACCAGTAGAAATGCCTCCAAGCGAATTGTTCCTTCACGTATCCTCTGGATTTTAAAGACTAAAAGATAAATAAGATAAAATGCATTAAGTCCTACAAAGTAAAAAATGTTCATAATTTTTAACAATGCGATAAGATCTTTATATAATGTATAAAAGATATTATGGATCGTTACCTGCATAGCCTTAATAACTTGAAGATTGGGAATATTTTCTAGCTCCGGATGTTTTGACGCATGATAATCTTTCTTCGCTACCATAACTCCTTCCTTGAAAAGGTATTCGTAGATAGCTACACGATTCTTTTTTGGCATCAACATTCTATATGAAAATAATGAAAATACTCTGGTATAAAATCTTTAATAATATTACTATATTTATCGTTAATAAATATTACTATATTTTATTTTGTATGTATATACTTTATATTTTTAAATATATCTTAAAATATATTAATAAATGGAAAAAAAAGTAGATAAGTTCGTAAATATAATCTTTTATGTTTTTCTTTAATAATATGATCTCTAGTATTATATTTTCCTTTGTTTTTAAAGAACGTGCTTTTAACTTTAATTCAATCACTTAAATGAGGTTATGTATATCACAAAATAATCGCACACATATTACACACAAAAAAATTATATGTCGAAATGATATTTTAAAGAGCTACACAATTATATAAATTATTTTAAAAAATTTTAAAAACCTGCAACTTATCTTATTTAAAAGAAAAATAGAACACAGGTTATACATATCTACAAATATATATATCTACAAATATATCTATAATAATAGAATTATCAAAATATAATGAAATATATTTGATTTTGGAAAAATTATGGATTTCAACAAACTTTCCACTTTTTTGTAATTCTCACGAATAAATAGGATTAAAATGGATATTACTGGAAAATCAACTTACTTGACAACTTTAGCGTACACCTCGTATCGGAAAGGACCAGTCAGTCGCGACAACACCGACATGTGCCATGCGTCGATATCTCGAATTAATCGATGTCATATGGCTACGTTCAGTAGAACGAACCGCTTATTCGCAATCGAACGTGATTGGCTCTTTTACTTTTAAGGTACCTTTTCATGTATCGCTCATCGCTCGTTTTCAGCGATATAATGTCTCTAGCGATGACGTCACGTAATCGCTAAAGACATAATTTTGTAGTTGGATTTTTCTAACTACAAACGATATTAACAAGTGTGAAAGACAACTTTGAAATTTATGAATTAAATGGATAATAAAAGTGTAACATACTCAATCTACAAAAAAATATTTAATTTAATGAAAAATTATTATTCGCTAATATACGTCGTGACGTTCGGTAAAAAGCACGGTAAATAGTTCGATTCCGTGATATGGTTCATGTCCGAACTATTCAGCTAAGAACTAGCTTGAGAACCGAACAGCTGAGTCAGACAGAGATCAACGATCCATCGCTCTGGCTTTGTCTCACCTCACCGATGCGTCTCGTGGATTCGTGTGGCCAAAGGCGAGGTTTTGTCTTTCGCGCGTAGCGTTCGCGTAATTCAAGGCTTATAATTTTTATGACGTTGACTTTGGGCAATATATCAAAAAATTATGTACATATCTTTTTACTTTGCTTTTATTAAAATATTTTATTATTTATTTTCCAGCTCAAAAGTCATTATAATAAAGATGACTTACTAAATATTTGAGATAGAATAGAAATATTTTGCTAGTAAAGGGATAGGGCATAAAGATTTCAATTAACTATTTTCAAGAAAAATTAATTTAAACAATACATGGCAATTTTTATATTCGGTTCGGTTAAATTAATTTTCACTTTCCGGACGACTGCTCTTACCAAGTTATTTACTAACATCTACTAAAAGGCAAATGAAAAATATAGGATCGAAAGGGTCTGAATAGCTTAGTTGGTAAGAGCAGTCGCCCGGAAAGTGAAAGACGCGGGTTCGATTCCCGCTTCAGCGACTTTTCGGACCTATATTTTTCGCGCCTATTTCTCTATATGTAAATTTCGAGATTAATTTATATATGGAACTTAGTGATCTCAAACCGAGAGATACAGTTCCAAATAATTAATTTTTTATGCTTTGGCTCTGTTGGCCGATTTAAAAACATCATATTTATATTCTTAATATTGAGAGCCGATAAAAATATTTTCTTTCCAAAATCATAATATTCAATTTATGTATTTAGATGCGGCCTCAATGTGATAATTTTTCGTTTTTAAGACTAATAATAAACCAAAAAACGATAAAATTAGACCAACAATCATCAACAAACGATTACGCATCGATTAGACCGTTTTTTAATTAAAAGTAAGATTTTTCCGGCTAACTTAATGCTAATTTTTTTTTAATTAAATAAATATATATATAACTAACAAACGTTGCAATTGGACCAACAATTACCAACGAACGATTAAAAAAAATTTTTTAAGTCAAAATCGACCGGTTAAGTTAATGGAGCTGTACACTTGTGGTGTGTGCGAGACTATATTACTGCAACCACTACTATGCGTCGTTTCCGAACTTCTGCTGCAACTGTAATTGACACTGTACGTCTATATTGTTCTATGTACTTGTATTTATTATTACAATCCATTTAATTAATTTTTATACACGGTTAATTATTGAGGAGAACGGAACAATCAAAAGGCAAATTTTTATTTTTGTAAAAAATGCTGCTTTGTATTGCAGTGGAGCAGGGGTAATACGCCAGTTTTCTTTCGCTCCATGAAAAGGTAGGAGGCGATAACGAACAGCTTTTCAACGCTGCTTTGTATTACGGTGGAGTGGGGGTAATATACCAGCTTTCCTTAGCTCCATGAAATTGCACCTTTAGGCAACACAAACATATATGTAATACTACTATATTGCTAACACAGGTCGAGAAACTGTAGCCAACATTACGGTGCAGACAATATATTCGTGTCTTGCTCTAAAGGACAGTTGCGCGATGTGCGCATGTGCTAAAACCGAAAGTGGGGATGAGAAATATTATATGATACTAGATCTGTTCGTTTTGGCTACACTGGTCACACTAGTTCAGAGGTTGTCTTTTTTGCTCAACATTGGAAAAAAAAGATAACCTCTGAATTAGTGTAGCTAGTGTAGCCAAAACGAACAGACCTATTGATACGCCTTTATATAAGTCACGCATGCGCAGAACGGCTAACTGTCCCGCTATACTTGTCTCTCTTCGGCGTATCTTTTTTCTCTTTTCTTCTTATGGCTGTTAGCAATATAGTAGTATTACATATATGGACACAAACTCCCGTAAGGCCGGATTCACATCTTGGCAGAAAAGCAAAAAATAGAAACGCAGAAGCCAATCAGGGGATCGATTGTCTACTTGTGTCGATTTTTCTCACTTTTCGCACATTCATTTCACGTGAAGAAATACACGCGATTGGCTATGAGCAAGATGAAAATACAATATCCCTAGATTCACGGGAGCACAAACCATATATAGTGAACATTCCGTAAAGCATATATGCATACATATATGTTTTCTACTTGATAAAAATTACGCACTCAGTGCACCAATAAGTACGATTTTACGTAAAGCAATAAAAATTTAACTAAATATAATATAAAGCATTTGGTATTTGTTGAGCATTGACTGTCCAGTTTATATAAAGTAGAAAACACTATAAGAACATTTTAATAAAATAGGAAAGATGAAGGAAAATATTTGAAAAATTAACAACTTGTAAATGTGGTGGAATTGCTGTCTTTCTCTCTTTAATTGGCGGGTATCAATAAAAGGTATCAATTCTTCTATTAGCTCCATAGTTGCAGCTTTATTTAACCTGAAATATATAAAAATTACATTAAAGATATATGAAATTATATCATAACAAGAAATTATAATTTAAAATATAGATAAATATTCAATGTGTATATATATATATATATATATATATGCAAATTATAATTTAACATATACTGCAAATGAAATTTATAATAAAAATTTATTTATACCTGTATAGTTTGACAAATGTAGTCTCTGGTGTATCAAACGGATCTAAAGTATCTTTTAATTGCCTCCTTATAATATTTTGATATTTTATTTGTTGTCTTTTATTATCATTATCGTCGTTTTTCATTATTATAACAATAAAATGATTCATCTTACATACGTAATTTTCTCGAGGTATGTGTGATATAGAGGATATTAAACAACACTATACGCACGATTTTGACGTTATTCGACACGAATTTCTTGCCGAACAGTTTCATGCGAGTTAGTTCGTATTTTCACTATGATGAACGTTACCCAATCAAGCGAGAGCTCACTTTTGTCATTTTTACCATACTTTAAAATATACAATCGATCTCCAGGGTACTTATTACGGTTCTTTGGTTGAGTTTGCTCACGAGGTGAAAATCACAAAAGTGAGAGATTCACTAGGTTGTCTACGCTTCTATTGGTCAAAATCTAGTGAATCTCTCACTTTTGTGATTTTCATCTCGTGAGCAAACTCACCCAAATAACCGTAATAGGTACCCAGAGGGTAGATTGTGTATCTTGGGTGAGTTGCTCACGAGGTAAAAATCACAAAAGTGAGGAAATTTACTAGAGTACCCACGGTTTCATTTGTCGATATCTAGTAAATCTTTTCACTTTTGTAATTTTCATCTCGTGAGCAAACTCACCCAAGATACACAATCAACCTCCTGGGTACCTATTACGGTTATTTGGGTGAGTTTGCTCACGAGATGAAAATCACAAAAGTGAGAGATTCACTAGATTTTGACCAATAGAAGCGTAGACAACCTAGTGAATCTCTCACTTTTGTGATTTTCACCTAATGAGCAAACTCACCCAAAGAACCGTAATAAGTACCCTGAGGTCGATTGTGTATCTTGGGTGAGTTTGCTCAAGAGATGAAAATTACAAAAATGAAAAGATTTACTAGATATCGACAAATGAAACCGTGGGTACTCTAGTAAATTTCCTCACTTTTGTGATTTTCACCTCGTGAGCAACTCACCCAAGATACACAATCTACCCTCTGGTCAGAGTCGGGTTTGGTGAGCATTTTTACTGAAAACATCAATAACCCTATCCTATAAAATTTTAGGGTTAGGTAAGTGGTGTTTCCACCGTAAGGGTGCGATTACATGGACGCGCGGAAACGCGGAAACGCGGAAGAGAAAGTAACTAAACTTTACTAGAGTCCCGCATTTCCGCGCGTTCCGTTCCGTCTGTTTTGATTGCCTTATATTACATGGAGCACATTTTGAGCGGAAAAGCGGAACGGGGAATTATAAAATATTAATATTTAACTATATTTATTGATTAAAATGCTTGTATTCAATAGATAAGTTGAAAAGATGAACATATTAAAAGGAATTACAATGAATTAAGTAAATATAAATTTAAAAAATTAATACAAATGTCTATTTGTCACTATACCGTTCCGCTTTTAAGAGTGCTCACTATAACTCGACTCTGACCCGATTCGAGCTCTCGGTGGAAACATAGGGTTTGTTCTTTATTACTTCACTGATGAACTAATGCAATAAGTTAAAGTGAGACAAAAATATTTTTTTTTACTCTAACTTAATAGGTTTGTTCGCGTCGCATGCCCCAACATGCTCCTTCTTACTCCACTGCGCTCGTATTGGTGCGCTCCTCGAATTGGACCAATACAAGCGCATTGAAGTAAAAAGGAGCAAGTTGGGGCATGCGACGCGAACAAACCTACTGCAACAGTCTGCACTGGTTCACGAGTGCAGCAATAAAGAACAAACCCATAGTCATGAAAAAGTGTGTGCTCCCCGATTAATTTTGTAGGGACTAACTTTACGGCTACTTTTATTTTTTTATTTTTTGAAGGACTGATCTAACAAATGTTTTTATTAATCTAACAATCACCTACAAGACGACTTACAAACGATTAAAAAGAAAATAAATTGAAAAAGTAAAAATCGGGGGGAGCCAATTCACGGAGCTTTTCAATGGGATATAGTCTATCCAGTTAGAGTATATAGATCAGTGTGATATATCGTTCAATGCATTTTCATTATGTTTAGTTTGTCAATTAATAGGAATTTTACTCATATAAGAGGAAAAAACATAAACTTAGGAAAAATAAATCCTGGTGAGTTTATATTCTATTAATTTATAAAAAGATCTATATATCTATCTATAGATCTCCCAGACAGCACACAATATTTATAATAAAGATTCAAAAATATTTATAAATATATTTTTTCAAATATTATATAAATATTTTGAAAATGTTTTATAAAAACTTTTATTTAACATATTATTAAAACATAGATTAAATATTTCATATAATATTTATGGTATGTGAAAATATATAAAATATTTATAGTAATTTTTTTGTAAATATTTTTTAATTAAATTGTCCGTTCTGTCATTTACCGCTATGTGACGTATATCTTTCTCGTATTTAATTTTTGTCGTGAGAATTAAGGCTGGCTAAAACGGAATAATTAATAAAATTAAAAATGTATTAAATCTAAGACTCCAAAACATTTATAAAATATTTATGATAAATGATAAATATTTATAAAATATTAAAATAATTATTATAAATATTCTATAAATATTTTATAAATATTCTGTGCTGGGCTATAGATGGCTATAAATAATTTTCAACCTTTGCGAAAGAACTTGAGAATATGATCCGATACAAATCTCTTTTGCTAATTACTCAAGGAGAACAGAAAAGTCAAAATGATGTCAATTTGACGTCGTATTGACTAAATTTATGTCATTTTTTGGTCAATATGACGTCAAATTGACATTATTTTGATCTTCTGTTCTCATTGGGAAGAAAAATATAATAAACAATATATAATAATTAAATGCTCTTAAATTCAAATAAAGTATTACACATATAAAAGGCTAATAAGAGCAGAAGTAATATTACGGTTATAAAAACTAATTTATTACATTTAATCAATTTGTATTGATAGAAACAATAAAGTTTAAATTAATCTAAAATTATAAAAATAAAATCGAAAGTTAAAACAAATGAGAAAGCGAACGTTTCGATCCAATTTTTCGGATCTTCTTCAGTTTCCTCTGAGCCGTTCTACTGACATGAGGATTACACTAGCGTCACTTTTGCTACTGTTACAACTAAAATATTGTCACATCATAAATATATGATGCGATTAATATTTTTATTTTAACACCTGCCAACCTCGTAGTCAAAAAATTAGAGAGGATCGCTTCCCACAGTAACGTGAATGTGATGGCTTAGTGAGAGTCATATTAATCTTACGACGTTTTATTTCGTTTACTGATGTAACCGCGTCTAAATATGTTTATTAGACATTTATACGTTAAAAACATTTAGACTTTAGTGATTTTAATTTGCTTTTTGTACTGCGCTGAAGAAGATCCGAAAAATTGGATCAAAACGTTCGCTTTCTCATTTGTTTTAACTTTCGATTTTATTTTTATAATTTTAGATTAATTTAAACTTTATTGTGGGATCTCAAATTGAGATACAGTTCCGTTTAATTAATTTTTCGTTTCGTTTCCTTGGCTCTATTGCCCAGCTTAGAAGACAGCATACTTATATTATTAAACTTTATTGTTTCTATCAGTACAAATTGATTAAATGTAATAAATTAGTTTTTATAACCGTAATATATTACTTCTGTTCTTATTAGCCTTTTTTATATGTGTAAAAATATAATAATCTTATAAGAAAAATGTTTTCATTTTTAATTAAAAATAGTTTAAGAAAATCTTATCAGTACAGCATTTATTATATTGATACTAAAAGTTCCCTGCTATAATAGCACACCGTATCCGATATCCAGGATTCGATATCCAGAGGAAATTCGAACATCCTCAGGATGTTCTCTGAACGTTTTCGGGATATGTGTGCTGTTAGGGTTATTTTACTAAATTAAAAAAATTTTGTATTTTATGAAAAATATCTTTTAAATATTAAAATTAAATAATTTTTTAAAAATTTTCTCTAGAGAATTTTTTGTAAACTCTAGAGAATGTTTTATAAAAATCAAATTATTTATGAATAATATATATATATATATATATATATATATATATATATATATAATATGTATAAATATAATTATAATAAATAAATTATCCTCAATATTCATATATCATTCTCCACTGTTGTTGTATTAATTGTTATATTCTCTACGTATTATTCATTTTTTTAACATAATATATTTAGATTTTGTATATTCATAGTCGGCTGTCATATAACACACTATATAAGTAACATTTAATATTTAATAATTCCGTCATTTTTTTTATTCCTTATTTCTAATTCTCAATGCATTGTGCGTTAATTTTCACATTTTCTTGTTTTAAAATAAAATAATTTCTAATATTTAATATATTTATTCTTGTTCCTAATATTTTCTCTAATATTCATGTAATTTCGAAAAATGGCGGGACTTCATGTTATAACTGCGTTCTCAAATTCACTGCCTGGACTGGAAATCTGTAGTAACATATATTATAGATTTCCAGTAGTAATGACTGCAATTTCGGAACACAGCCTTATATCCTATATCTTATGATAGTGGTTTGGCGACCCTGTTTTTTAATCATTCAATTCCAGTTGATCCGGCTGGTCAGGTGTTGCGTCATTGATCTCCTCAATAACACATCAGATCGTAATATTCGCAATATATAAAGCAAGAGCAATTCTTTATCGCTAAAAGTAATAGACATATTGCAAAAAATGGTAAGTTCCATCAATATTATATATTACATTGAGTTAGAAATTATATAAATTAGATCTTATCATATCTTATCAAAATTTATCTTTATTTTCACCTTTGTTTGACCTTCACTTTTGCACTTGATGTTACATATTAAGCTTCCATTCATCAATCATTTGCGTATATATATATATATATATATATATATATATATATAAAATGCAATAAATATATATGTTTATATTATATTATTTATAATTATTACATATTTAATTATTTATCATTATGTATTTAATATGCCTCAAATTCAATCTCTTTCTTTTTATTTTGTAAAATATATTAATTTTAAATTATTGAAAATTGATAAAAATATACGTAAATATAAGTATCTAATAATATACATAATAAATAATTATGTTATCAATAAATTTAATATTTAATAAAGAAAATATATATTTAAATATATATTTAAATATATATATGTGCATATAATAATGTGCATGTAAAATATATATAAAAAATAATTGTTTAAAATTATATATACTATATAAAATGTATTTGAATATTGTGTGTGTGTGAATGTAGAATATTAAAATTTATTAAATCTTATATTTCTTTTAAGAATAAGTAATTGTAAGATGTACTATGTTGCGCACACTAAAAAAAATTTAAAGTTATGCAACTAAAAATCTGTACTTTCTACTATATAATATTATAATTTTGATTTTTTTATTTTGTATCAGGCAGAACCCATTGATGTCGTGGTTACTGGTGCTGCTGGGCAAATTGCCTATTCTCTATTGTACCAAATTGCAGCTGGTACAGTTTTTGGTCCAGAACAACCTGTTAATCTTCGATTATTGGATATTTTACCTATGATGAAAGTATTGGATGGAGTGGTTATGGAACTGGAGGACTTGGCACTTCCTCTGTTACGAGGTTGATAAAATGAAACATTTGTACATTTAAATAAAGTTTTTGTATTAAATATTGCTTAATGCTTGTATATTCATATATTTATGTGAATCATACTAGTTGTACAAATTGGGAATTGTATAAGTAACTTAATAATAGTTGCTTAAGATATTATATGTTATATATTTTAACAATTATTTAAAGGAAGAATTTTTTAAAAATAAGGTAACTGCAAAAGAATTTTATTATTTTCAATGAGTAATTGAGTATATATTATGTTATTGCTATTTAATGATATTATCTATTTTAATGATTTTATATATGATTATATAATTAAATTAATTTAAATTTGTAGAGGTTTTGCCAACGGCTGAACCAGCAAAGGCCTTTAACAATGTAGCAGCTGCTTTCTTAGTTGGAGCAATGCCTAGAAGAGAAGGAATGGAACGTAAAGATCTTTTAGCTGCAAATGTAGAAATTTTCAAGGTGCAGGGCGAAGCATTAGATAAATATGCTCGTAAAGATGTCAAAGTGTTAGTTGTAGGTAATCCTGCTAACACTAATGCACTTATTTGTTCACATTACGCACCATCTATCCCAAAAGAAAACTTTACTGCGATGACTAGATTGGATCAGAATAGAGCACAAGCAGCATTAGCCACACGATTAAATGTGCAGGTAAAATTCACATTTACACACATTTTTATTCATTCCTTTATTCATACTATTTATTATGCTTAAAATGAGAGGTTTTTGTAATGTATATACAGAATTTGACTACATATAATTATGTATTTTTTTATATTTAACATTTTTATTTATAATGCAAGACTATATACACTGTGTTTATGAAATACTTACAATTAGACAAACTTCTTAGGACATATTTCTCACATCAGTATACAGAAAAAAAGTTTATATATACCCATACTCAAAAATGAACAACTAACAACTACATACTTTTTCTACAAACAACTGTGTTTTCTTTATACCAATTGATTTCTTTCATTATTTTATGCATAAAAGTATTGAGATAATATTGTCGAAAAATGAATATTTTATGAGATATTTCATAGTTTATGTAGGTCAAAATAAAGTATAAAATATCTCGTAAACTATTTGACAATTCTATAACTTTTATGTAGAATATTTATAACTTTTTATGTAGAATATTGCAAGGAATTAATTTATATAAAAAAAGTGATGATTCCATTTAAAAAATTCAAGATGACTTTGTCTTGACTTTGGTAACATCACCCAAGAAAGTAATAGGATCAGCACAAGTAGATGTTTTTAAATCTTGCAATTTTTATCTGAAACATTTTTTTATAAAACACATCTTCCGAGTTCAGGGGTATTGATATCTTTTCCTTATTCTGTATATATTTAGCCCATCATGTTGTATTTTGCAGCACTATATAATCTTAATTTAAACAGTGTTATATAATTTTCTTGATATAATAACAGGTTGATAAGATCAAGAATGTCATTATTTGGGGCAATCATAGCTCTACGCAGTATCCTGATGCAGCACATGCAACAGTAACTCTTTCGTCCGGTGTAAAAGCCGTACCAGTTGAGATTAACGACGATGAATGGCTTAACAATACCTTTTTAGCAACGATTCAAAAACGCGGCGCCGCAGTAATAGCTGCTAGAAAGATGTCCTCCGCCATGTCCGCCGCTAAAGCAGCTGGAGATCATATGAAAGATTGGTGGTTCGGTACTAAACCTGGAGAATGGGTCAGCATGGGTGTTGTATCTGATGGAAGTTACGGAGTGCCAAAAGATATTGTCTTTTCCTTCCCTGTCGCCATTAAGGACAAACGCTATGAAATCGTCCAAGTAAGTTATATAGGGTGTATACTCCCTGAAAAAACCTGGAGTTCTCAAGGAATTTTGTTCTACTTTGAAAAATCCTGGAATTATCATGAAATTTAATTTGAACTCGGGGAATTTTCAAAAAAATTGCTCCTTTGATTTTAAAATACAGTTTTAAAAAATATAAAATTTATTAGCTTTATATAAAGTATATATTAAAACATATTTATTGTAATATAATACTATATTACATTATTATGTATAATTAAAAAATACTTTATTTATGTTAAAAAATTATGTATAACATATAAACTTATTTCAAAATTTGTATTCTAAATAATTAAAATACTTTAATTCTACCTGAAAAATCATGGAATCCTCAGGAACTTTGTTTATAAGATTTGAGTATATACTCTGTTATTTCTTGTGAAATATTTAAGGATATATGGGACGTCGGAGATAAAAATATTAACGCTATTTATGTTGTACGTACATCTTACAAAAATTTTTTTATAATGCAGATTTTAAGGTTTAAAAAGGAAACATCCTTTTAAAAAAAACGGTATTTTTTTTCAAAGGTTGAATTGAAATTATAAGAGAAAAAAATGTTAAACGACAATTTAATTGCTTGAAGAGTACTTTAAAGTTATAAGAAAACAATTTTTAAACTCCCACCTCTTAATTTTTTTCAAAATTTTATATTTTTTTACCGAATCCAAAGTTTATTTTTTTCGAAATTCTTAACTATATATAATTAAATTTTGAAAAAAAATTGGATGAGAGGTTTTTAATAACTTTTTTTTTATAATTGTATGAATAGAAAACATTAGAAAGACACGTACACGATAAAGAAACTTATTTTAAAAAACTGCATCTGCAAATTATTTTATCAGATATTTTGAAAATATTTGAAAAATCAAAAAATTCTCAAGGAATTTTTTTATAAAAAAGTGATGGTAAAAAGGCCTGTTTTTTCGCTCATTTTATGGAGTCGAATTTTTGGATCTTAAACAAACTTTTTATGCCAATAGTACTATGTTTGATGAGACATTTCCCAGAGAAATTTCAAGATAGGCACGATTTCGGAGATATGAAGAAGTGAAAGTGATAGTTTCTCATACACCCTGACTAGAAATTTTCACTTTCACCCCCTTGTATCTCCGGAACCGTGCTTATGCTCATTTTGAAATTTTACTGGGATTAATGTTTCATCTAAACGTACTATTTGCTATGAAAAATTTGAAATTTAAGGTCTAAAAAATGGGCGAAATTTGCTATCACTCTGAGTAGATATCCTAGTCAAGTAATTTTTTCATATTTTTTATCTGTAGATTTTTGAAAATCTTGAAGTATATTTATTAATTTTTTTTGAGAATTTTCTTATATTTCACATTCATTAAAAATGAATACATTTTAATTAAAAATATAGAAAAATATTTTTAAAAAATGCTAAAATACTTTCCAATTTATTTTCAGAACCTTGCAATCAATGACTTTGCAAAATCAAAACTGGACATCACATCTAAGGAATTAGAGGAAGAACGTGCCGAGGCAAACAACGTATTGAAAAAGTGACTAGTAGCGTCAGTGCAAAATGATGAAATGAAAAAAGAGGAATTTGTGTTAGCAAAATTGTAAAAAAAAAGTATTGATAATGTTACTCAGATAAAAATGCACACATATAAAACAAATGTTTTTAAAAACATTACAGTTAAAATCACGAAAATAAATAATGAATAGGATTTTACGTTTCAAACAATTTTTAAAATATAGCAATTTGATATTTGAGTAATTATAAATTATGATCAACGTACAATCATTAAACAAGGGATTGCACATCAATATATTGCTGCAATGCTTGCATATATTTTAGATTACTGTATGATGTGTGTAATTCAATGTAAATATTATAAATGAACAAGTTAAGGCTCCTGGCCATGTTAGATTGTGACGTCAGAGGCGAGAAAACATATGCTATTAATTCAGGAGTCTTGGGTAGAAGGTAATCGGAAGTCTTAAATGGTTAAATGGATTATAAACAGTGAAATGTAAATGCTATGTTTACTACTATAGATTACGCATATGCAAGTATTATCAATGTATATGTGTACATATAATCTTTGTAAAACAAAAGTATATTAGAGAACAATATATATCTTATAGCAATTTTTGCTTTCATTTACCATTCACCTCTCCCAGGAGAATTCATTTTATCATAATTTTCAATATCAATATTATTATATTCAATTTTTTCTCACATACATTTATATTATCTTCATGTATCTTATTTTCTATTATTACATTTCGAGTTTTTCTTTATTGTAATTATCGCGTGAACGCACGCATTAAGTAGCATATTTATACACAAAGAATGTTTAATTTATTCGATCTCTTGACATTCTCAGTAAAATATCGCAACTTTTTTTCATTTCATTCAAAGATCCTTTTTTTTAAGTTAAAGATGATACACAAATATATTAAGTTAAGAAGCAGATGTTTAGAAGCTGTGAACATCGTGGTCTAAGGTACTACAAAACCCTTTTTTTCAATATTATTAATGAAAAATTAATATTTTGCAAACGTGTCAATTTTGATTTATATTATTGCGTAAATATTTATAGCAAGTTATTTGTTTATGTGAAATATATGCCGTATAAGTATTTTCATAATAAAGAAACTATAGAAATTTTCAAAATTCATTACTTTTTATACAATAACACGCACATTTCCAATGAAGATGATATTCCAACGAACATTGATTTATATAAGTGAGGAACTTTTGAGATTTTGTTGCACGAAAACAATAAATAATATATTCGAAACACACACTTGCAAGTGTTACGAAAAAAAAACTTAAATTATGAATAATTTTCAAATTTCGAGCCAATTATATAATAACAGTTTATATCAAATAACTAAAACAAATTGTTTCAAAATATCTTTTAAATATTTCAATTGTTATACAACACGCAAACGCATACATCCATACACACATCCTTACATACACACACACACACACGCACACGCACACGCACACGCACACGCACACACACACACACACACACACACACACACACACACACACACACACACACACACACACACACACACACACACACACACTTAAACAAATTGGTTTTTTACTTACAATGTACAAGAAAATAATACATCTGTCAAATTATTATTAATATAATATATGTCAACAACCAATGTTTGAAGAATTCCGATTAATAATAGTTTGCAAATTATAAGTTCTCTCAAATAATAGATTCCTATAATTAAAAAAATAAAATAAAGGATACTAATATAATTCACAGCATGATTACATTGGATATAAATATGTATATATACCATATTTTGTGTCCTATCTATTATACATATAATACACAGGATGTTGAAAAATTAGATCGACAAATTTTGAAAAGAAATAGAAGACTTCAAATTAAATATTTTTTGTTAATAATAATTTTCTTTACAACGTTTAGTTTTAATACTACATGATATGAGATGAGTTTATGACCTTTGAGTTTGTCATCCTTCATATTAAGGTTAATATGAAGAAATTTTTTAACATTTATACTGTAAAAAGAATGAATCACTTTTATATTTATTCTGTCTTTTGTTCAAGATCAAAATGCAATTTAATTTTTCCACTTGTTTGTAGTATAAAACTAAAAAAGTCGCGGAGAAAAATAATACTAATAAAAAACGTTTATATTTTGAAGTCTTCTACTACTCTTAAAAATTTGTCGATTTAATTTTTTAATATCTTGTATATATATATATATATATATATATATATATATATATATATGAAATTTGAATATTACAAAGATCAACATATAGAAAAATTAATGTAATTTTAAGAGAGCATCGGATCAAGCATTGGATGATGGATATATCAGATGTATCACGACTATTTAGTAATCACGGATTTACTGAAATAGTACAATACATTAATCGATAAATATTTCTCAAATAAAAACAATTTAGGAATATATATAATATATGTGTAATTATTTTACATTTAACTTTAACTAAAGAGAATATAAGATAACAGAATAGATAAAGCAGATAGACTTAGAAGGTATATATATATATCCAATATTTGTAACTGTGTTTTTAACTAATCTACTATCTTACAGCAACATCCTTCATTAGTAAGCGTCAACTTAATCTTTTAAAATGCTAGTTTTCATGCCTATAGTTCAGTTATAACAATATTATATAATATCGGCGTAAAACTAGTGTTCGCACGATGTATCAAGTTAATAATTTTACATCAGATTATGGATGTTACCGTAAAGCAGATTAGTGGGAACATGTGTACATAATTATTTCTGGAGAATAATATATGTATACAAGTATTTTTGCAGAAATCAAATTCCGTCCCTGATTACTAAAAGTTGCTGGTTTACTTATACTATATTATAGTTCGTACCAAAAAAATAAAATTATTAAATTACAATAAAGGCCGTATTCTCTCTCTTTCTCTCATTTCTACGTACACGTATATCAATATGCGCTAAATTATAACTTTTTTTTATTTCTCCGCATTATTTAATGCGAATATTTTAATTGGAGGGGGGGGGAGTAAGAAAAATTAAATTTAATTCAAATGAAATCCTCGTTCTCGGGTAGCAGCCAAGAGTCTCTCTTTCAAAATCTCCTCAGTAGGATACTCTGGTAATTTTAAGTAATGAACACAGGTGTTAACTGAAGGATAACCGCCAGAACCAGCATCCACTTTCCGTACGACTGTTAATCTTGGATGTAAATTACATAAACCTCCTGGAGGTAGAGCCGAACATCCGGTAGCAAATTGTAAGAATGCTTTTCTTTCCGCACCGGTTAATGATAACAGCACGTTGACGAATCTTTGGAAACCAGGGCTGAAAATAATTTAATGAAATATCAAGATTAAGTCTTAGTATTTGCTGTTACCTAAACAAAATTATATAGATGATCATTTAGATAAAACTTTTGCATCATCTTATCTTTATATAGATAATAAAAATGTGTATCATCTATATATGTATGTATCTTAGATGAAAAATGTTATTTTTACTAAATTATCTAGAATAATTTTTAGATAATTTTGCTTTAGAATCATAGCACATAAAAATACTTAAATAGTATAATTTAAGCAGTAAGCGATAACTTAGAAATAAAAATATGAATATATATATATATTTATATCCCTTTTATAATTTACATTTTTTTATAACTAAAATTTTTTAATTGAAATGGGACACCTTATATACATATACAGGGTAATTCATTTTAATAGCCCTAGGCAAATATTTTGAAATCTATGAGATATGAAAAAATGATGTAATTTTGTGTATATGTGTGATTTGATCTTGTTTAATTATTTGAAGGTTATGTAAAGGTCACCTTCAATTTCTTAAATAAAACCAATTATTTTTTATCACATATTCTTGTAGCTTATCTCAAGATCTTTCCAAAACACTAAAATAAAGTATTTTTCTCTTAGTACTTTTTGAGTTATTAAGATTTTAAGTTAACATTTTTTGACATAAAATATAAAATATTATATTAATTTTCGGTAATCATACTTTTTGGAAAGTTCTCGAGATAAGCTACAAGAATATGCAATAAAAAATAGTAGGTTCCATTTAAGAAATTGAAGATGACCATCTCGTGACCTTCAATATAATTACCTAGTTTACATCGTCGAAACGTTGGTATGCTTATTCAATTTGATGCGCACCAAACTTTAGTACGGGTGCGTTTACATCTAATGTACTAAGGGAAAAATTAATACGAATTTAATAATTTAATAATTTAAGAGAGCCACAAGATGCACAAGATTAACCGGTTTTAATTGAGATAATGAGGTTATGCTCAATGCTAATTCCCTCCAAAATGCGTTTCATGCGTTTACATCGTCATCTAAATCATTTGGTACGCGTATTAGTTTAGTACGATACTCCTACTTGATACGCTCGTACCAAATTGATTCGGCAGCATTTACATCGTGCGTACTAAATATTTAGTACGAATTTGGTACAAATACTACAAATATAGTATCTGATATGCGTATCAAATGCACGATGTAAACTAGACCAATGACACCATCTTATGTCCCCCTCAAGATTAAAAAAAAAAAAAAAAAAAAAAATTTTGAAACATGTCTCTCATAGTTTTCGAAATATTTGCCTAGGGCAATTAAAACAAATCACCCCTTACCTTTCTTTCGTGTATCCTAATTTTGGCTCGGTATAATTGAGCAAATCTTCCTTCGTCCACTGCGGATTCTGTTCCCCGCAGAGCATCGCCCGCATTTCTTCCGGACTAAAAACGTGTAGTTTCTCCATCGGAAAGACCTTTGAGAAGCCCGACTTGAACGCCTCGAGCTGCCTATAAATTCCCTGATTAAGGCAGTAATTGATGGTGAGATTAGTGTATTCTCTCGCGTTTTCTATCGTTACTGCGACATCCGAGCCACCTCTCACTAATTCCACGTAATCGTGTTGAAAAACTTTCGAACTTGGTGAATACGTCATGGTCAAGGTCAGATCCTCGATCGCCACCGAGGTGCCTGACGGATGCGTGATGTACAACGACGACGTTTTTTCGCCGTCGGTGGAATTCACGTCGTCGGAAAAAGTTCTGTCGCGCTTGGCCATCGCGTTCTGTATCTCCTTCAGAAATTCTCCTCTTATAGGATCCACCTCGACGAGATCCTCGATGTCTAATAGACCGGCATACCATGGGCAGGGTTCCAATGAGGAGTAAGCGGCGTCCGCCTCTCCCTCTTCAGATATGAAGCTACTCGACATGCTGGACGACATGCTGTCTTGAGTGATGCCGGTGAGACCGATCTTCTCGTTGACATTGTTCGAGATATCACCGCGACACATCAGTTTTAAGAACGGACGGGACAATGGTAGATCCACTAATCTATTGTCCTGGAGGACCTTCGCTAGGAAGACGCCCAGGAACCAGAAGTACCGAACGGCGCGGTCGCAGGTCGCCGAGTCCTGGGGCAACGGGGCCGGGAACAAGCCGCTGCCCCGCGTCACGTAATATCCCGCGGGCCGGACTTTCTCCTCGGTCGTTTGACCCTCGACCATGATCTGCGCGCCGCCCTCGTCGGCGGCGTCGTCGCACAGCCAGAGACCCAGATCCTTGCGCTGCAATTCCGCCGCGACTAACGCGAAGAATTCCAAAGTCGGCCCGAGACCGGTGCCCTCCTCTCCTACGAATGCCACTTCAAGTATGCTCTTACGGCTCGCGTGTATCTGCAAAAAAAGAAAGAAACGTCAATTTGTAACACTTTACGTAGGACCACTTTGCACATTATAATATGTTATTAATTAATTAATTAATTAATTTATTATGTTATAATGTGCAAAGTGATCCTACGTAAAATGTTACAAATTGATATTCTAAAAATATTTGTCGTATCAAAAGTTGTTGAGAAAATAATAAATTATATACATTAATAAATATAATTATTTAATAAATAAATTTCAAGCACCCTTCTCTCGACCAAAATGGCAATTTTTCTTTATTAATTCAAATCACAACGTTTCGACTATATTTTTAGTCCTTATCAAGTAATATAACTATACAAACATACAAAAATACAAAAAACGAGATTCAGTAACAAAATTAATTTTGCTATTAATATTTTAAAATTAGATGAAATTTATACGTACTTATAAAAAAGGAAGAAAAGAATTATTAAATTCCAAAAACTATCTTTAATCTGATTGACCATGCGATTTTATTATCAGACAAACAGTTCCATTGGGATAACATTAACATTGTTAAACGAATTTTAATTAACAATTGCTTTCCCAAACATATCATTGATCGATGGGTGGAAAAGACTTGAATTTTTTAAAACATAGAATCTTTAAGAAAGACTTGAATTTTTTAAAACATAGTTTTATCAGCGCCTTGGATCGAAACGAGAGACATATTGACAGGTCTCCTTTCGTCTCTTTACCATACGTTAATGGTTTTAATCACATAGATAGAATCTTTAAGAACATCACAGGGTTTAATGTGGTACACAACATACCCAATAAATTAAATTGTTTAATTAAACTCGGCAAAGATAGATTACCTACAGAGAATAAGACCGAAATAGTTTATAAAATTGTAAAAATTGCGATTGTTCATATATTGGACAGACAAAGAGACATTGAAGTACACGAATAAAGGAACATTTCAATAATATTAAAATGCATTCCAGAAATTTATCTGTAATTAGCAAGCATAAAATTAAATTTAAACATGACTTTGATTTGTCTATGTCTAATATCCTACACAAAGAGAAACATGTTAGAAAAAGAGAAATTGCTGAAATGTTTTTTATTAAGAAAAACAACAACACTATTAATTTACAAAAGAACACTGATAATTTAAGTAACATATACGACAAAATAATAAAGGTCACTTAGTCTCTCTTTATCTGTTTAACATACATGACGTGATATCTATTAGACACTATTCTCCTAAAACATTTTTGGAATTTAATAATTCTTTTCTTTCTTTTTTATAAGTACACATAAATTTCATCTAACTTTAAAATATTAATAGCAAAATTAATTTTGTTACTAAATCTCGTTTTTTGTATTTTTGTATGTTTGTATAGTTATATCGCTTGATAAGGACTAAAAATATAGTCGAAACGTTATTATTTGAATTAATAAAGAAAAATTGCCAGTTTGGTGGAGAGAAGAGTGTTTGAAATTTATTTATTCTTTATTTTGACTGGCGAGACTCGAAGAGTGACCGTGTTAATTAATTAATATTTAAGTAAAATGCACATTTAAATTAATGAAGAAAAAACCATAAATTAAAATAAAAGACTATAGGTTATTTTCTCTCTTTTTTACTTATATATTTAATTTTTCCAGAAATACTTGTTTATATTACTTATTACAAACAACTACGTGTTTTTTTTACATCAATTAATTCGGATCCTGTACAATTAATTTTTCAAGAAATTACATTTAATTTTATATTTTCTAAGAATATTAGTTTTAATTTAATTTAAAAAAATATATATATATATATATATATATATATATATATATATATACATATATATATAATACATATAAATTTAAAAAATGTATATCAAATTTAATAATATTAAATCTCTTGTAGAGATTATTCCAATTTTAAATCTTGGCCGTGTCCAAGTAAAAATTTAGTGCCTTGTGCACAGGTTTTAATCCTAACGAAAAAATTTAGTTTCGTTGGGATAACGCACTGTCATCCGCGATGTGATTCTTATTGCCTGTTTAACACTCTCAATTTATATTTATATTAAAATTACTTAATTTTCAAATGTATAGTTTTTGGAAAATTAAAAAAATTAAATAAAAAATAACATAAATATAACTTTTACGACTCACATTATATATTTGCGTTATGACCTTCGTATTTACATTTGAATTTTGTCTTTTTGTTAATTATTTGACCTTCATGACTTTTGATTAATTTTTATACTACACAGCGTTATGTGATTGCGTTAATTGTAATATTTATACCCGCGCTGAAGAAGGTCCAGGAAAGAGGAACTGAAACGTTCGCGAGAATTTAATATTTAATAAATTTTACATGCGAAATAATTACATTACGTTGTTCTATTAGCGTTTTGTTCTCTTTTTAGAAAATAACATTCTTAGAAAATATAAAATTAAATAATTTTTAGAAAAATTAAAAAAAATTATAAACTTATTTTCATGTAAAATAAAATTTATTTCCTAGGAAATTAAAAAGATATTTAATTATAAAAAATTTTTTTTAATTTGGAAATTAAAATCTGCCTCCATAAAATCTTGTTCGCCTCGTATTATCGTATCGTGTGCAATTTTTCTTTTTTTCGTGATTTTAATTAATTTATATAACTTTAAATTTAAATTTAAATAACTTTTGATCTAAACATTTTTCAAATAAATGTTACGAATAAAATTTTTGTTATTTTATCGTAAAATCTAAATATGCAATTTATTTAATATGTATTTTATAGAATGATTCAAAGTTATTCCTTATCTATTTGGAAGAGGAGTGACTCAATGTTTATATAGTTCGAAAGACTCCTCAAATAGACATAAAATTTTCTCTTAAACAATTTTTCTGATTCAACATTTCACAACAAATATTTCTAAAGTTATCGGCTTGTAACACTTTATGTAGGCCATCCTGTATAGACAGGGTGTATACACAAATCTTAGAAATAAATTTCCTGAAGATTCCATGGTTTTCCATGTACCGTTGTTCGAAATTCCAGGTAAAATTAAAATATTTTGTGCAACCAGCGCGCGAAAAGTCGCCCTTTACGCACATAATGGGATTTTAGAAAGGACTCCTTTTCCACGCACCGGTCACACAAAATATCGTAGCCAACATGTACGGGTCATAAATCAGCCGATCGTGCGGATTGTCACACTCGGCTTCGCCTCGTGCGCCAAACTTCCGCATTCTTGGCCGATTTAAGATTCCCCGCACTTGTTAACTAATATACTATTAAATAATATTTAGAATATAATTTTGAAATAATTATTTGTTATACATAATTTTTAACATAAAGTATTTTTAAATATAATAATGTAATATAGTGTTATATTATAATAAAATATATTTTAATATATACTTTATATATAAAACTAATAAATTTTATATTCTTGAAAATTATATTTTAAAATCAAAGAGGCATTTTTTTTAAATTCCCTGATAATTCCAGGATTTTTCAAGGTAGAACAAAATTCCCTGAGAATTCCAGGTTTTTCCAGGGAGTATACACCCCCTGATAGAGAATAGCTCCTTAAAAATACCAATTTTTACCTTCAGCACTTGTTCTGCCCAATCCAATAACTTCTCTCCCCTAGGTACACTGACTCGTTCATGCTTAAGCCTACCGACACGAAATTCGTGGCTGTCGTCTCGTCGCGGGCTTAAACCAGGTGCTCTCTGTCTCTCGAGAATCGCGTCTCGCTGCGTCTGCAGCCAGACGATGGACCGCGAAGCACCGAAGGCAGTGCAGCTGAAATAGAGTCGCCTGGTTTCGAAAGGCAGTAAAAACGGACAGCTTCGCGCAAGTTCCTCGCACCAATTGGGCAATGCACCAGCGGCCAGAGCCAACGGGTCCTGAATCTGCTGCACGATCTTATTCGTGATCTTCTTGGACGTGAAGTCGTCTGAATGAAGCCAGTAGGTCGTGCTATCGTTGGATTCTTCCTGTTCTACCGAAGTGGTACCGTCATCTCGATTGGTGGTCAAGACAAACACGTGTCTCAACAGCTGCAGAACATCCTCCATGGTGCACGCGTTTGCGTTTTGCGTAGCATTACGAGAGTATAATGTTACGATCGGCGTCGCTCTACCGGATAATTCCTCATCTCTGGCTTCCTTGTATATTATGCTGTAAAAATCAGACAGTCAGGCTATAATTTTCTCTCTATGATGATAAATTAACAAAGGTTTGGACACATTACGTGTAAGTAGGTTCCCATATCCTTTTCAATTTTTCTTGGCGACTACCCAGTTCGGTTAATTGCATCAATTCCTGGACCGCTTGAAAAATACTAGCATGCGGATCTGAAAGTGGTATCTCGATGTCCGGTATGCCTGGAAAACCTGGCCCTTTCAGCGATAAGGAAAGCCTAGGCATGGGCAAGGTTCCTATGCGGCTATTAACTTGCGCTTCATTGCCAGGAGGGGGAACTTCCAAATCCGTTGTCTATTTTTTAAAGAAAATATTTCGAAATAACGCAAGCGTTCTCGCAAGATTTAATTCTAATGTATACAGGGTGTATACTCAAATCTTATTCCATAATTTTCCAGGTACTTTTGTTCAAAATTCCAAGTAAAATTAGAGTATTTTAAATAATATTTAGAATACAATTTTGAAATAATTATTTGTTATACATAATTTTTAACATAAAGTATTTTTAAATATAATAATGTAATATAGTATTATAATAAAATATATTTTATATGATAATAAAATATATTTTAATATATACTTTATATAAAACTAATAAATTTTATATTTTTTAAAACTATATTTTAAAATCAAAGAGGCAATTTTTTTAATTCCCTGATTATTCCAGGATTTTTCAAAGTAAAACAAAATTTCCTGAGAATTCCAAGTTTTTCCAGGGAGTATACACCCTGAATTTAATTCTAACACGTAATTGTTCGCATTACTTGCCTGATTGATGTTCGTCCGACCGGGACGTGGATCAAAGGCAGGAATAAGGGCGGAAAATTGACGCTTCAGCACAAACTCGTCATCCCACGCGCGCCTTTTGCTACTCTGTGGTGCTTCTTCTTCCATGAATGCCGCCAAAAGATTGCGACTTACCATTACTTCTTCGTATTCGCCTTCGCAGCCGTCACCTTCCTCTTCATTCTCTTCATCTTCTTCCTGAAATATGTAGAATACACATGTTTATAAATTTATTTTGGAATTATCCTGTACGATAAAATGCCGCACAATATTAGGTACTTCTTGATCATTTTCTTCGTTATCTTCTTCTTCCTCTAGAACGCCATCTTCGTCATCTTCTAATTCAGTTAAAAGCGTAGGTCCGCCCGTAGTTCGACCTCCACCGGCGCTAGAGGTCGCTACACCTCCGCATGATTCTAAGAAGTCTTCAAGACTGACCTATTCGTCACAATAATATTGAAGTAAATGAAATAATAAAAGAGAACATTTTTTTTTTCACGGGAAACACATACAAGATGTCCCATTTTAAATGACGACCTCAAATATCTTTTAAAAGAAGCATGTTAGAGAAAAATAAAATATAAAATGTGTTAATAAACCGACCACAACTGGCAATGTTATTCTTTAGTTATTTATTCAAAATTCAGACAACGTTTCGACCTTAGTTCAGGTCCTTATCAAGTCTACAATCAAAAAGTAATAATTATAAATGTTGATAAATTATTAATAAAAATCACATATGTGTTTACTCAAAACCGAATGATTAGACTCATGTAATTTAATATTGCTAGCATGTTCCTTCACTCTAGTGCATAAATGTCTTTTCGTTTGTCCAATGTATGAGACATTACAATTTTCACAATTAATCTTGTATACTACATTAGTTTTTATATCATTAGTTATTAAATCTTTACCTCGTTTTATCAGCCTATTCAACTTTTTGGCAAACTATAAACGACATTTAAGTTAGCATTTTTAAGTGACCTTTTAATACTGTCGCTAACGTCTTTAACATATGGAAGTGGAATCACATAATTCTTATCTTGAGTCGAATTCACATTATCGTTATTATCCAAATCATTATTCAAACTATCGTTATTATCCGCATTGTGACGGTTAACATTTCTATTATTATTTAGTACATTAATTCTTTTATTTACATATTTATTAATAATACGATCCGGAAAGCAATTATTAATTAAAATGTTCTTTACAATCTCAATATTCGTATTGTGAAATTGTTCGTTTGAAAGTAAAATTGCATGGTCTACTAAATTATAAATCGTATTAATTTTATACTTAATAGGATGACTCGAAAGAAAATTGATGTATCTGCCAGAACATGTAGGTTTCCTAAACCAATTAGTTGTCAATTCATTCCCACTGCGGATAACTGTGGAATTTAAAAATTAATAGAAGAATTGGTCTCTCTATTTCATGCGTAAATTTTAATAGTTCATGATAATTATTAAACGTACTTAAAATTTTATTTATTTTAGAGTTAGGTAAAATAACATAATTTAATTCGAAGCAATAGAGTTAATGTTAACCCTTTTAGTATGATTTTTAGCTTATCACAATTTTTATATGGAGTTGAAGTTTTTAGAGTCTACAAGTTTTTGTTTTAATGATCAATTTTACGAACAGATTCATGGTATCCCAATGGACTCCCTCCTTTCACCTATTTTGGTTGATTTAGTTATGGACGATCTCGAAACAGAATGTTTAAACGCTTTACAATGTAAGATTTCAGTTTATTATAGGTATGTTGACGACATTTTTGCAATAATTCCACGTTCTGAGATTGATAATATCCTGATTACATTTAATAATTATCATCAACGTTTACAATTTACTTATGAGATTGAAACAAATAATATGATCAATTTTCTAAACACAACGGTTATTAGAAACAACGGGAAACTTTTAACAAATTGGTACCAGAAACCCACATCTTCTGGCAGATATTTAAACTATTATTCGAGTCACCCATTTAAATATAAAATTAACACTATTAATAACTTAGTTGATCATGCTATTTTGTTATCTGATGATAGTTTCCATAATAAAAACTTATATATAGTTAAAAGAATTTTATCTAATAATTGTTTTTCCAACGCGGTTATAGAACGTTTTTTACACAAGAGAGTTTGTTTTCTTAAACAATCCTACGTCGTGGGGGATAAATACAAAAATAAAGAATTTGATATTTCAAATTGTATCCCAATGCCGTATATCAAGAATTTGAGTAATACTATCGAGCGATCTATTGTAAAAGCAGGCTTAAACGTTATCTATACGATACCAAAGAAATTAGATTATGTAATAAAAAGAGGAAAAGACAAACTTCCTAAAGCGGAGATGACCGAGGTTGTTTATAGACTTGACTGCAATGACTGCAACGCTACATACATTGGACAGACTAAAAGACATTTAAATACTCGTATAAAGGAACACATGAATAACATAAAAGTGCACAATAGTAACCATAACGTAATAAGCAAACATTGAAGTGAATTTTTACACGACTTTAAATGGACAACCTTTAATATTTTACATCGGGAAATACATACGAGAGAAAAAGAGAGTTAGCAGAAATGTTCTACATTAAAAAAATTTAACAATACGATCAACCTTCAGAAAGACACAGAGAATTTAAATCCTATATATGATTTGGTTATTAAGGCTGCTTCGTTTTCTAATATCACGACGTTAATGTCCAACAAACGTAGGACGAATTTAGTATGAATTTTATTATGTAGAAGTGTGTCAATTTATTTCTTAGCAGGTATGATTTTTATTTAATTAATTTATATACATTGGTTTACGCTATTTCTCATTTTTAAAAATGTGCTTTTTATTAATAATTTATCAACATTTATAATTATTACTTTTTGATTGTAGACTTGATAAGGACCTGAACTAAGGTCGAAACGTTGTCTGAATTTTGAATAAATAACTAAAGAATAACATTGCCAGTTGTAGTCGGTTTATTAACACATTTTATATTTTTATTTTTATTTCACTGGCGACTCATAAATTACTCGTAATTAGAGAAAAATGTTTCAAACAAAAGTTGTAGAGTTCAAAAAGAGCCAATAGACGATCTTATTAGATTTCGGATAGGGAGTTTGTTTTGGTTTTTTAAAATGGGACATCCTATATATCAGGGTGTGTACTCAAATCGTTTAAATTCCATGATATTCCAGGTTCAAAATTCCAAGCAAAATTAAAGTATTTAAAAAATTTTTAATACAATTTTAAGTTAAGTATATTTTTGTTATACATAATTTTTTAACATAAATAAAATATTTTTTAATTTAATAATATAATAGTCGAAACGTTGTGAATATTAAGTTAATAAATTGCTAGTTTTGGTCAATAAAAATTAAAAGCATTTATTTTATAGTACCTACTAGCGTCCTGTATAACTAGAGTATTAATATATATTTTATAATAAAATATATTTTAATATACTTTATATAAACTTAATAAATTTTATATTCTTTAAAGGTATATTTAAAAATAAAATCAAAGGGGCAATTTAAAAAAAAATTCCCTGAGTTCAAAATAAATTCCATGAGTATTCCAGGACTTTTCAAGGTAAAAAAAATTCCCTGAGAATTCCTGATTTTTCAGAGAGTATACACCCTGTATATTAATAAAAAAAAAGTAATTTTACCTGCTCGCTATCACTACTTGTACTAGTTAGAGACATAGTCAGCGCTTGTCCTAAGCCTGGTCCGGTTGTCGTAGTGACACCACTACCAGCTACCTGTCCACTACTCGTCAAGCTTGGATAGCTTTGCGCCGTGCTAAGTAATCCACCGGGAAAATTTGGACTCAGCGCTAATCGTACAAGACTGGATACAGAATTTGGTCCTCGTGGATTTGAACTCGTATTAGAATTCGAAGCAAGGTGTTGTCCACCTGTAGGTCCTACAAGATGTATTTTTTTTCTTGAAAAATTTATATTATTTGAGAATGTTGCAAAAGATGAGTCATTTTTCTACCATGTAGAAAGAAGGTAACAATTAAAGGTCAATGTAACGTTCATAAAAAAAGTATACATATGTTATTAAAAATATAACTAGATCATAATAATAAGCATATTTGTTTATAAATATGTGTACTATATATTAAGTTTAAAACTGACCTAACGTTCGTCTTCGAGCCATTGCAGCAAAAGTCTCCAATAAACCAGTAGCAGCTGTTGATTCCAAGGTATTGTTAGCATCGGAACAAGCGAGATTAGGTACAGATACCGACATGGGATTGGTAACCACAACAGGACAACTACCCGTTGTATTTTGTGTAGATGAGCTAGCTTCTTTTTCTCGAGTAGTACAGTCTTTAGCAACTTCGGAAGAAATATACGGAATTTTTACATGTACTATTAGCACGAGGAAAGGAGATTAATATACAATCACGAATTATAAAGTACGGCCGAATATTTTCCGCATATAAACAACGAGAGATTTAAATAAAGTTATAATTTTATGTCGTTGACGAAACATCATAGCGATGGGACGTGTTCCTCTTTTAACTATTAATTTTAAATAAGATCGTTTTTATGGTGTGTTAATCTCATTTTAATTGATGGAATTCTCACTTGATAAGGACCACAACCAAATGGTCGAAACGTCGTGAAAGTACTGAATAAAATTGCTAGTTACGTCGAAATCAATTTTGCCAAGTTTATAATTTTATGATTATATATATAACTTTATACGTGTTCAATTTAAATATAAGCATTGTAGCAATAAAACCTGTAATTAATGCAAACGAAACACATATCATACCATCTGCGATTCCAGTAGGATGATGTCTTGGTACAGATTTTATCCTTAATGAGTTTTCATCAGACTCGCCGGAAACGCTGATTCTAACAGGAACTAAACCAAGTAGTTCGCCGCTCAGAAAACTATTAGTATTGTTGCGTAATCTGTCAGCTCCTTCTCTCATACGATCCAGAACCTCAGCGGTCTCTAAACTCAATAATCCTCCACTAGCCTAATGTTATACAGACAATCATATTCATGTTAGAGTTCATTAGAAATAGTAATATTTCTTTTAAATAAAGATAGTAGAAAAACTAGCAGCTCTTTTTAAAACAAAAGAACATAATTTTTGTTAAAAACTATTGTGTAATATTGTGTTATAGAATTCTCACTTGATAAGGACCACAACCAAATGGTCGAAACGTCGTGAAAGTATTGAATAAAATTGCTAGTTACGTCGAAATCAATTTTGCCAAGTTTAATTAATTTATATACATTGGTTTACACTATTTCTCATTTTTTAAAAATGTGCTTACCTTGTTGCCTCTTATAGTAGCAAAAAATGGTTTTGAACTGGACGCTCGATTACTAGTACTGTTAACGGGACAGTCCGTATTAAGGGTGAGACTTTCAACAATAGTAGCTAAGTCACTAGTAACCGCTGTGTCCGGTCTAGGATGCAACACGACTGAAAGTTCACTCGTCGAGTTTGCTCCACCCTCACCAGTTACGGCAACCACCGCTTCGGCACGAGCCACCGATAACACACTCTCGGCGATCGATTCGGCAGCTTGCTGCTTGTAAAAATAAAAATACCAAATCAGGAATGACTCTCGCATATTATGTTAATTGTTCTATTTTGCTTTATATGAACACTTTTATATTAGAATTGTGACATCATCAAAATATCTTTTTATTTTTTTTAAAAAGGCATCTATAAGAATTTTTAGTGCGCGTTTTGTCGCCTCTGACGTCATAATCTAACATGATCGTGGCAAGGAGCTTTAATTCAGCAAGTATGTGTGTATGTCTATATAAATTTTGTAATAAAATTTCTTTAGATTTTCCTGATCTTTCAAGTATTTTTGTTTAAAATTCTAGGTAAAATAAGAAAATTTATTAAGTTAAATTCCATCCAAAATAATTAAGTTGAAATGACTTTGAAAACCGTTAGTTATAAACATTTCTGTAACATCAATTTATATCTCCCTACTTCAACTTTTATTTGAAATATTTTCCTTTAAAAATAAGATTTTAAAGATGAAATTTTGTAGCGCTCTATTTTCAACATACGATATAATTTATTGAAGTATTATTAAATATTATTAAAATTTAATTTAAAAGCTGAAACAATTTTTTATAAAATTTACATAAAACTTTGATATTGAAAGAAGATTGTCAATAAAATCGCATGAAATTTTAATAAAAATATTGTAGACACACACAAATGTATTTCCTAAAAAAGAAACAAAATTACATTTATAAAATCAAATATTTAAAAAAAAAAAAAATTTTTGAAAAATTCCCTAAATTTCAAAATTCCATGAGAATTCTCGGTTTTTTTCAAGGTAAAAAATTATTTCTTATAATTCTTGGCTTTCCCCAGTTTTTCCTGCAAATAGATACCCTAATATGTAATAAAAGAGAAATAAGAATAAATTACCTTTGCCGCTAGATTATCCGCGCTTGCCGCTTGATCGGTGGAAGCTACAGAACTATGTATAGCGGTATCAGTGCAATCGGGTAAACTAGGAGTGCTATTGGACTTCCGACCAGTTAAAACTCCACTTCCACTTTTACATTTCACTGTACTGTCTGCCTCAAGACTGGTGCCGACTAATCTGAGATCATACTTCCCTTCCGCACCCATTCTATAGGAATTTGATCCACCGTGATCCCAGGTTACATCTATCCATCCGTTGTGCAATTCTCCCGTAACTGTACCTTCACCTGCGAGACATTAAGACAATCAGCTTTATTTAATCGAAGTTTTAAAATATTGTTAATTAATTAATTTAAAATAAAAGTTAATTATATATCCATTTTAATGATAAACGACAAAACAAGAAATTTTTTTCATTTTTTTAAAAAATACAATTTCTATCTATTAAAATTCAAAATTAATAAATACCAATTTTATTAGCATATTACATAATTTAGAATAACGTTAAGTTTTTTAATTATTTTATTTGTAATCATTTAAAATTTTTTGTATAAGTTTTAACTTTTAATTTTGTTTTTTGATTTCTTTAAATTAGATTTTTCTATAATTATTTTATATTTTTTTCATTTGTTATTTATATATTTATTTTTACCAGTAATATAATTTTTTTTTAATAACATTTCATAAATTTTTTTCTGTGTTTTCAGTGGCATTTTTCTGTTAAAAACATTTTTTCGATAATTTTTATAAAAATTTTCAAAAATAATAAAATTAAGATGTTCTAATAAATATTTATAGTTTTTATAAAAGTATCAAGAATCTTGCAAGAATCAAGACAAGAAATTAACTGTCGAAATTAAGATATCATAATTCTTAATTAAAAAAAATGAAGACAAAACAAGTATATCCAATTCTTGTCTTGTCTTGAATCAATCACTAGTCCATTTGAAAGTTAATATTCCCACCTGGTGGTACACCATCTTGATCTCTCCACTTCCAGTCTAAGCCTCTAGCCACTCGCACTCCCGCGACTAAATGTTTGAGAACTTGGGTTTTAATGAATCTTCTTTGCTTCCGTACACCGGCCTCGGCTTCCTTGGCTGCACGGCCCAAATCCTCGCACACCCCGGTAACTTCTCCATAAACCTCGAAGCCGGATACGGATAGATAATGCGTTTGCCCAGATGCGTTCTTTCCGATTTGCTGTAAACGCAAATGCCGCCAGCCTTGCGTCTCTTCGCTCGGTGGTTCCAGGGTCCAGGTAGCCGTGCTACCCGGTTCGTTCAAGGAACAATCATCTACGTGAGCGTACAACGTTATCCACGTAACGCCGTCCTTCGACGCCTGAAACATCCAGTTCCTCAAAGCACTTCTACCGTATCCCCTCGCGTGTCTCAGGGTATAAGCGTTGGGAATAATCCAAACTCCAAGATCGATCGAAAACCAGGCGCGTTTATCGTCGTTGGTGTGACAATTCAGGGCCGATGGATCGCGACTGAGAATATCCTCGAGGTGGCCGTACGGCAGGTTTCTCCCATCGCTCGATGTGATGACGACCAAACCGTACTGACCCGGGTTTACCCATTCAGAACAGGTTTTAGCATTTGTACCGACCCAATAGAGCAAGCCGTTCTCGTCGAAGTCGTGCTGATACTTGAACACTATTTTATTCTCCTCCTTCAATTTCTTCACGAACGTGAACGTGGATCTATCGTGATCGTGCCACTGCTTAGCTACCATCTTCAATAAATGATTCTCCAGCTGCTGTATCGTGCTCAACGGTTCCATCTTTAAGCTACGACCGGATCGATCTATCAATGCGCTTTCGCCGGAGGCCTTTTCCAGTCGGAACCGCAATCTTCTCGTCAAAATCTATGGGAGGAAAAATAAAAAATTGAATTAAAAAATAAGCGGAATAATCAGGATGTATACTCAAATTTTATAAATAAATTCCCTGAGAATTTCATGATTTTCCAGGTATCTGGATCCAGGTATTCATGATATTCCAGTATCTTTGTTCAAAATTCCAAATAAGAGATTAAAGTATTTAAAAAAATTTTAAATACAATTTTAAAATAAGTTCATTTTTATTATACATAATTTTTTAACATAAATAAAATATTTTTTAATATAATAATATATTGTATTTTATAATAAAATATATTTTAATATACTTTATATGAACCTAATAAAATTTTATATTCTTTAAAAGTATATTTGAAAATAAAATCAAAGGAACAATTTTTTTTAAATTCCCTGATTCAAAACAAATTTCATGAGTATGCCAGGATTTTTCAGGGTAGAAAAAAATTCTCTGAAAAATTGTCCAACAAAAAATTAGGCAATAAGTGTTACCTGTAAACCGTAACCCGATCCAGGTGTGTCATACAGATACACCGGTAATTTTTCTATGGATTCTAGCACTGCGACCAACTTGTGAACTAAGATTTTAGCGGAATTGTGCTCCTTATTCGTGTCTTTTGTTTGAAAACAGGTATTGAATACAGTTATTCTCTGCATTCTGAGTTTAGTCGCCCTCAATGTTGGTGGCGAGGGTCCAGGAGGTGCGGCCAATAGAGCTAATAACGCTTGAACAAGACCGCTGGAGTGTAATTCGTATGCCGACACTCGACCTTCCTCGTTCAATAATAATTTAAGTTGCTCCAAGGCGGACTGCAACACGTTACGCCATTCGCGATTTCCAGATTGTTGTTTCTGAGACGCTTTCTCTATTTGACTAACAATAGCACCAAGTTTAGCGACTACACCGCGTGGTTGAGCTTGAGCCACTTTGAAATAACGTTCGTATATTTCCTGCGCTTGCACCTTGACCTTTTGCTTAATCGCTTCAATCTTAGATCTCAATCTCTTCCCTCTCTTACCAGTCCAACCTGCTGCAAATTCTGGACCTACAATGAATCAAATTTATACAGGATTATCGAAAAATATCGAACTTCCCTAATATTTTTAGTTAGAATGCATTTTGGAGAAAATGAAAGTTGTATGGTTTCAAGCGGGGAGTAAGATGATGACCTTGACTTTGACCTTGATCATGTCCTTCAAGATCATTTGAAAATCAACTTCAAAATTTTAAATGGGAACCCTTATTTTTGAATCCAGATTCCGAAAGAACGCATCCCGTGGTATAACCATGTATTTTGACGTAAAATTTCACGCTCTTTCGGAATCCGGAGTAATAAGTAGGGGTTCTCATTTAAAATTTTGAATTTGACCTTCAAATGACCTTGAAGGACATGATCAAGGTCAAAATCATCATCTTCATCATCTTACTCCCCGTTTGAAACCATACAACTTTGCTATTAGGCATTTTCTCCAAAATGCATTCTAACTGAAAATATTGAGGGAGGAGCGATACTTTTCGATAATCCTGTATAATGTAAAGCTTTATAGATAGTTTTTTTATAGGTATAGCTTTTATATACAAGGTGTCCTATTTTAAATCTCTCTACAATCTCAGATCTTTTAAAAGAAGCATTTTAGAGAAAAATGTTTCAAATAAGTTGTTTCAGGATTCAAAGAGAGCTAAATAGATGATCTTATTAGATTTTGGATCAGAAGGTTGTTTTGGGTCCAGTAGAGTACAAAATAATTTTTTATAATTGAAACCCCTATTTTTTAGTGCAAATTTGGATTTTATGCCTCAAAACAATTTTGTTCTCGGTAGTTTTTTGCTTAACCTTCTTCTCCAACAGACCCAAAACATTGTTTGAAGTTATTATTACGTAAGTCATTACAAAACATCGATTTTTGGCATAACAATCTTAAAAATGTAGAGTTCAAGAAAAAATTGTTTTTGTGACAATCTGATGATTAGATTGAGTGTTGGGCCCATATCTCAAGTTAGGCCCAATAAAGCCTAGATCAATTTTTTAAATAAAACTCATCAATTTCTTATCGCTAATCCAGATTTTGCCTCTTTAATTCAAACAGATGTTTTTGAGATTGGTTAGTTTGGATCTGATTGTATATAATATATATATATATATATATATATGACGATGACGATGACGATGACGATGACGATGACGATGACGATGACGATGACGATGATAATAATAAATTCTTTTTCATTTTTTTTATATTTAATAGAATTAAACTATTTCAAAAAATTTCACAAATTTTTATGTATCAATACATTAAAATATACTAAATTTATTTTATTTATGAATTAATTTTTTTTGTTTAATTTATTATTTTTATTTATTTTAATTTTTATATTTTTTATTTTATAAATAATTTTTATTAATAAAAAAATTACTTAATTATTTAAACTTATTTAAATGATTTACTTATTTATTATGTTTAAATATTAATTTAATTATGTTATACAATTTTTTTATATATATATACATATATATATATATATATATATATATATATGTATATATATATAAAAAAATTGTATAACATAATTAAATTAATATTTAAACATAATAAATAAGTAAATCATTTAAATAAGTTTAAATATATATATATATATATGTATATATATATAAAAAAATTGTATAACATAATTAAATTAATATTTAAACATAATAAATAAGTAAATCATTTAAATAAGTTTAAATAATTAAGTAATTTTTTTATTAATAAAAATTATTTATAAAATAAAAAATATAAAAATTAAAATAAATAAAAATAATAAATTAACAAAAAAAATTAATTCATAAATAAAATAAATTTAGTATATTTTAATGTATTGATACATAAAAATTTGTGAAATTTTTTGAAATAGTTTAATTCTATTAAATATAAAAAAAATGAAAAAGAATTTATTATTATCATCGTCATCGTCATCGTCATCGTCATCGTCATCGTCATCGTCATCGTCATCATCATCATCATTATTATTATTGTTATTGTTATTGTTATTATTATTATTATTCAAAATTGAATAAAATCTGACTTTTAAACCTTCTTACATCTTTTGTTTGAAACATTTTTCTCTAAAATGCTTCGTTTAAAAAATATTTGAAGAACACTCTGTACAGAGATCGTAATATGAAAAGAAAGATTAAAATACATAAAGTGTAACATAATTGAATAGTTTTCTCATACCTAAACTGGTTTCGGCCGTGAAAGAATGCTTGGTACCTCTGTTAGATTCAAAAATAAAACCTGGCAAGTCTTCCCTCAAAATGGTCGCCTGTTGTTGACCATCGCTATTGTGTATACACAACTCGCTCTCTTTTCTACTGGACAATGCCCAATTTCCTACAACCAAACGCGTCGTACCAGGCCGAGAGAGCACAGGCTGACTTACAAAGTTTACTTTTAACTGACTACGGGCCCTTTGCAGTTTTTCCAGAAATTCACCACGGTTTTCTGTAATATAAATATATCATATTATATGACAATTAACGTTAAATTGATTAGAATGGAATGGTATGTCATTGAGAGAGAAAAGGGAAGAGGGAGAAAGATAAAAAAATATATTACATAAATAATTTTATTTATATAACATGTATCAGAATATAAAAAAAGAACTCTCTCTCTCTCAATCTCTCTTCCTCTCTTTCTATATATATACATTTTTTCTTTTCACGCACACATACACACATATACAGGATGAATATATAATATATTCATTTTTTAGATAAAAAATATATATAACTGCATATTGTACTTATTACATTTTTCTACACAAAAAATTATTTAGATAAGATTATTGAAAAGTGAATATATTACGATATATTACATATTTTTTATGTCAATCTAAATTTTAAGCACAAAATATCTCGTAAATTAATCTTATTTCGACTATTTCATTCTTACAATTTTTTACGCAAAATATTACGAGAAATCGATTTAAAGCTCCTAAGTCCTCGTCGCGGTAATATTAGATTTTGATGTCAGAGACAAAAAAATACATGCTAATAATTTTTGCGTGCTATTTTTAGATAAAATATATATATATATATATATATATATATATATATACAGGGTGACCCATTTTAACTTAGGCAGCCAAATAACTCGAAAAATAAGCACACTACGAAAAAATGTTTACAATCAAAATTTCGTCATTTCAAGGGGGACGTACAATGACGTTAACATCAGCCCCCCCACCCCTCCCCCTGGGCGGTGAGGGGGGGCAAGTTTGAAATCTTAAATGGAAACCCCTATTTTTTATTGCATATTCGGAATCTTTGGCTAAAAACACATACAATTTGTCTGAAACATTTTTCTCGATTCATGATAGATGGCGCTGTAATCGACAAAATTTAAGATTTCAAACTTGCCCCCCTCACCGCCCAGGGGGAGGGATGGGGAGGCTGATGTTAACGTTATTGCACGTCCCCCTCGAAATGACGAAATTTTGATTCTAAACATTTTTTCATAGTGTGCTTATTTTTTGAGTTATTTGGCTGCCTAAGTTAAAATGGATCACCCTGTATATATATATATATATATATATATTATAAATATATATTAAATATATCTTATAAGGATAATTTTTGGAATATTTTAGAAGTATTAAAACCATCTAAAGTTGTGTTTTATCAAAATATGTTTTTTATCTAAAAATGGCACGCAAAAATTTTCAGTGTATTTTCTTGCCTCTGACGTCATTATCTAACATGGCTGCAACGAGTACCAAGAAGTCTTGTGTAAGAAAATGATCATGGTTTCGTTTACAAAAGTAATGATAATCTCGAAATCTCAAAAATTCCTTCAGCTGGAATAAGATTATGCTTACGACATAAAAGACATCCCCCTTAAAATCTTACACAATTTTTGTATGAAATATTTTTCAAAGCCTTGATTTTCGAGAATTAGCAATAGTTATTTAAAATGGGACACCCTGTATATACTGTGCGAGTTATTAAATGATATAAACATATATGTAACCAACCTTCAGTAGTAAGTGACTCTGTGTTTCTTCCTTTTCCTGTAGGCAGTTAGTAAAACCAGTTATTCTTTACATAGTCCCCTCTCGCAAAAGTTAATCACAAATGATAAAATATAAAACAAAGTAAAAAAAAATTAATAAAAATTTATTTGTCGTCAACAATAATAATGAATGACACATTGGTAAAAAAGACAATAGTACACAAAATGAATAATATGTGTGCAAGCCTGTACAAATTAAACATGTATGTATATATATATATATATACACACACATATCACACACGCACGCACGCACGCACGCACGCACGCACGCACGCACGCACGCACGCACGCACGCACGCACGCACGCACGCACGCACGCACGCACACACACACACAAGGTGTCTAATTTCACGATCTCCCTCGATCACCCTCAAAAACTTTTTTATTTTTGATTGTACAATAAAATGTTTCAAGCAAAAGTTGTTTGATTTCAAGGGAGACAGAAGAAAACGCTACTAATTTTTTTTGAAAGACGCTTTTCAAAGTCATTTGAAGATAATTTTTTTTTTATAAATGAAACTATTATAATTTTTTTTAATAACTGTGTTTTCTTTGTACCAATATATTCCTTTTATTATTTTGCATAAAAGTATTGTGATAAAATCATCAAAAAAAAAAATAAAAATATTTTATCATATATCATTTATTTCATAAATTTACTGTAATTAAAGTATAAAATATTTCGTAAACTATTTTTTTGCAATTTTGTATAACAAAAAAAAGTGCTCTTCAGAAAGGTCAGTAGCGTCGTCTATCCCTTATCTATTTATTTTTTTGCTATCTTATATAACTCTTTAGACAAAAATTGCAAGAAGTCGATATAAAAAAAAATTCAAGACCTTCAAATAATTTTTAAAAATAAAAGTCAGTCTTCTATCGGTCTTCAAATCAATTGTTGTTTGAAACATTTTGTTGTACGATCAAAAATAAAGTCTTTAGGAGCGGTTGATTAAAATTGGATATCCTGCCTATATACTTACCCGATGTATCCGTTCCACCTTCCGGACTTCCGCTGGAATACATAGTCGCCAGTTTGCCGTCGAGGATAAATCTGAACCATCCGTTGCTCCCGTTCGATAGTTCTAAAGCTGCCGCGTCGGACCAAATGTACAAACAATCGCGTCCTCTGCATATACACCAGTCTCTCCAATGATAAGCTCTACCTATCAACAATTCTTTCGCGTCCTCCATTCTCTGATCGTCCCCGGATTGATTTGACTCCGCTTCCGGTTCGGGTGTAGCCTCTTGCGGTCCGGCTAGAGCGGCGACTTTGGAAAATACTCCTAAACGCGCGAAATGTTCTAAGAATTCATCTTTGCCTTTAATCATCAAATCCTGTATCATTTGCAGGACGACTAAATGACCGTCTTCATCCTCCTGTTAATATATAGAACGCACAAGTTATTTAAACGGGCTTTAAATATAAAGCAAAACATTCGCAAAACAACCAAAAAAACAGATAAGGTAATAAGATTATTTCTTTCCAAAAATTCCATTTTTAAAAAATATGCTTAAATATGAAAAAAATAGCGTTGTCGAAAACAATGTTTAAATAAAAGTTGTTTGATTTTGAAGAAAAAGAAATTTATAATCTTGAATTTTTCAGGATCATTTTTCAAAATTATTTTAAGGTCAAACTAGTTCTTTTAATGGAACTATCTTTTTTTTTTAAATATAAATTGATTTTTTGAATTTTTTGATATAGAATATTATATGAAAAGTGGCTAAATATTAAATAATTTACAAGATATTTTATATATTAATTTTATATTGTAAAATATTCATTTTTAATGATCGTACATCAATATTTGTATACATAAAGTAATAATAAAAATCAAATGGTGTAAAAAAAATATGTAGTTGTTTTTAAGAAATATGTAATTTGCAACTAGCAGTTACATGTATATTTGTTTTTAAAAACAACTATATATTTTCTTCATATCAATTAATTTCTTATTATTTCGTACTAAAAGTATTGAGGTAAGATAATTGAAGGAAAAAAAAAAAAAAAAAAAAACCCGAGATTTTTCAGTTTCTGTAAAATTATGTCAAATTAAAGTATAAAATATTTTATTCCATTAAAGGAAACTAAGTTTACCTTCAAATAATTTTGAAAATGACGAGTTAAAATGCACGATTATCAATTTCTTTTCTCCCTCAAAACTAAACAATATTTGTTCAAAAATGTTTTAAAAAATGCAATACCTTTTATATATTTAAGTATATATTTTAAAATGGAATACCTTGTATGAAAAAAAGGAAAAATGCAAAATAATTTACTTTTATTATAAAAGACTAAAAATACATAAAAAAAACTTTTACTTTGCTAAATTTGCACACAATAAATAGAAGTGTTATAATGCATTTTTTTTAAATTTGCAAAAATGCGAACGGATCCCACCAATGACAAACAGGCAGTAGACAAAAATAGACCTAATACTTTTCGTCAATGTTATCAAAAATACAGATTTTTCAAAGGAGGATGTTAAAAAAGGTCGATTTCCCGACTATCGATGGAACCTAAAATTCGAGTTCCATGGGTATCTATAAACCATATAAGACGTAAAAATGATGGTCTTTTTTCCTAGAAACCTGGGGAAAATATTGAAAATCTATCAAAACTATTGTAAATAGCGTCATTCGATCAATCTGAAGAAAACTAAAATCGATGACATGAATGAATTTTCAATCAAACCAAGTTCTGGTCTTATCAAATAGTTTTTGAGATCAATAATGTTTTAATATTATATTTGTTTATGTTTGTTAAATATTTTTGTTTCTCAATTGATTGCTCACAATTACTTACGTTTCATTGTTGAACAGAATTTTTTAGTTCTAACATAGAGAATATTAATAGTTCTCATATTTTCTATGTTAGAACTAAAGAATTTTATTCAGCAAAGAAACAAAAATATTTAAATAAAAAACTAAAAAATATAATGTATTTGAATGTAGAATCAGATTTTCTATTCAGAGGTAACTATATCCTCTAATCTAGTTTTTCTCATCATTGATCTACCATATTGGATCCGCAATCATGAATTTTGCGATCCCGATATTAAAACATTATTGATCTGGAAAACTATTTGATAAGTGCTTAACCAGAACTTAGTTTGATTGAAAATTCATCCATGTCATCGATTTTATAGTTGTCTTCAGATCGATCAAATGACGCTATTTTCAATAGTTCTGATAGATTTTCAATACTTTCCCCAGGTCTCTAGAAAAAAAGACCATTATTTTTACATCTTATATGATTCATAGATACCCATGGAACTCGAATTTTAGGTTCCATCGATAGTCGGGAAGTCGACTTTTTTTAACATCCTCCTTTCGAAATTCTTTTATTTGTCTCTTCCACCAGTTAATTATATCATTAATTTTATATTTTCTTAGAAATCTCGCAATAATAATCAAATTTATTATCGTAATTTTTTACACAGGGACACTTTATATATTATTAAAAATATCAGAGAAATCATTATTGATATTTTATAATTGAGAAACTAATTGTATTAAGATTCTGATTAACTACATTTTGTCTTAAAAACATAACACTAATATAGAGATCTATGATTCTATTAAAAAGCTCCAGGCTTCTTCCTGTTGGAATTGTGACGTCAGAGACGAGAAAACACACTAAAAATTCTTAAATACTATTTCGAAATAAAAACATATTTCGATGAAACAGCACTTTAGCACAGTTTTCAAATATCTCGAAAACTTTTCTTTTCCTTTTATAATCAATAAATAACAATAAAATGGATTGTAATATGAGGTGATCATTTTACCAGGATGTATACTCAAATCTTATAAATAAATCCATGATTTTCCAGGTACTTTTGTTCTAAATTCCAAATAAAATTAAAGTATTTAAAACATTCTTAATACAATTTTAAATTAAGTATATTTTTGTTATACATAATTTTTTAACATAAAATATTTTTTATAATAATAATTATTTTATAATAAAATATATTTTAATATATTATACTTTATATAAACTTAATAAACTTTATATTCTTTAAAGGTATATTTGAAAATAAAATCAAAGGGGCAATTTAAAAAAAAATTCCCTGAGTTCAAAATAAATTCTATGAGTCTAAATCGTAAGAAAGGCGTAAAGAGCCATACGCGGATGTTGCTGCGTACATTTCCAATGAAACTAAGTTTTCGTTGGAAATAAACCGTGCACGTATTATTCTCGGTGTACTACCAAGACTTAACATTTGAAATAATCTCATACTTGAGATTTAATTTCAAAAACCCCCTAACCCCCCTACGGAAATAAATAAATAAATGCGAGAGAAAAATATAGATCCGAAAGTCGCTGAATCGGGAATCGAACCCGAGACCTTTCGCTTGCCGGACGTCTGCTCTTCCAACTGAGCTATTCAGACCCTTCAATTCTATACCTCTGTTTATATATACTCTAAATAACGCCTATTCGCCGGCATGTATAAATAACTAAGATTAAATTACGGCTCAGTAATATAATAAATATAAATCTAAATTGTAGGAAAGGCGTGAAGAGCCATACGCGGATGTTGCTGCGTACATTTCCAACGAAACTAAGTTTTCGTTGGAAATATAAATTCTATGAGTATTCCAGGATTTTTCAAGGTAGAAAAAAATTCCCTGAGAATTCCAGGTTTTCCAGATTTTTCCTGGGAATATACACCGTTTTACAGTTATTGACTGTCAAGGAAAAAGAATATTTTTCAGGTATTTTAAAAGTGCACTGAAGCCATCTGAAATAATGTTTCATCAAAATATCTTTTCGTTTAAAATGGCATGTAAGAATTTTCAGCATGTGCTCTCTTATCTCTGACGTCACAATCTAACATGAGCCTTAGGTAATATGTAATATCTGAATGGAGACATGCGCAATAAGTATGTTAAATTTCACGCTTTCTTTATAAGTACATTGCATTTTATGTTAATTATAAATGTACATGTAAAATCTCGACGCAATTATTAATTTAAAAAAATTAATGGAATCTTGCAGAATTACGAAACAGCATGGAAAGGACTTAAAAAGGGCTTTCGCGAGCGATGGAAATATGCACAATAGACGTTACCGTCTTATCGAGAATGTAGTTGCGACAAGGCTTGCGAGTCGTAAGGCCAAGTTTTGGGCCAAACACCTTAAAAGCCATAGATGACGATAAAGGCGCCTTTATTTCAAGTTCCTGAAAAATCTTAATAAATCACCGTCTCTCTGCCTGCATGCATGTTGGGATCTTTGAAAATCTCTTGTGTGCAAAAATATTTCAATTTTTTTTAGAAAATAAAATTCTGTTTACATTGTAAGCAATAAATGTGCATAGTTTTATTGTGTGAATTTTGTTTGCAGTCTTTTATATGAAAAAGGGAGGAAAAGATAATTTCTCCCACAGTGTCGATTAATATATACACAGAATAATCTTTATAAAAAATCAAGTATATAGTAAAATATGTAAATAATAGCATTCTCTCTTTATGATATTACACACATAAACATAGTGCAGTATACGCTTTTTTTTAAATATAAATAAGTGTAAAATAAGTGTAAAACATTGATACACGAGAAAAATTAGATATTACACTTACCTCATTATCTAAAACGTTGGCAATTACTTCTACAAGCATAGCTCCACATCCTCCGGTTTTATCAGATCTACAGGTTTCTATAAGCAATTCTGGTTGGATGTAATGCACCATTTTTCTAATCAAACTTAAACTCGCTTTTCTAACACTCGGTAACATTGTCGACTGAAAGGTCGCACAAAACACTGGCAATAATCTCTTTAGATAAACAGGTGCCATTTCAGGATCTCCTTTAGGTTCTGTGAATTCTTCTATTTCTGTCTCAAGTTTTCTATGCTCTTGACTCGGAGGTAACATCCATTCTCCGGGCGACTGTAAAATGGCTGCAACCTCTCTGTGTCCTTCGTCGACGCGTTCTCTGGCTTTATCCAAAGGTGTTTTACCATCTTCGTCTCGTAAATCAGGATTAGCACCATGTCTAAGTAAAACTTTGGCAATAGCTGGTCTTCCAAAACAAGCCGCATAATGTAGACTCGACGATCGCTGGCCTTTATTAACGTCTGCTCCTCTATCGCACAAGAATTCGACCATCTCTTGCGTACCAAACGCTGAGGCCCAATTGAGTAAAGTTTGCCCAACGTCGTCCATAAAGTTTACTTCAATCCCACCTGTATCGATCGCCTCGATCAAAGCATCCGTATCTTTAGAGCGTATGCAATCGATTAATTGTCTATGCGATTTCTCTCCGGCGCTATCTAAACGTCTCAATCTCGGTAACAAAGGACCGGATGGACCACTGGTAGTGCTACGACCCAATGCTAATCTACCCTCAAACAATAAGACTAATAGAAGATCTATCAACCTCATAGAATCGAGAGCGCATCGTTCGTCTCCCTTTAGTGCCTTTTCTATCGCATCCGGTAATTCCGAACGTAAAAGATCATGTGTAATTGACGGCGATCCTCTACAGAGTGTCGACAAAAGGCTAATTATAGTCGAAACAGAAGCACAGGATTTTGGTTCCGGAACTGGAACTGTGCTTATGGTGCTGGATGGCGGTGGCGTTTTTGGATTGCTGCAAGCCGCCGTAGTGGATGTGCCAGGTCCAGCTGCATTTGACAATCTAAAAATAATTTAAATTGTGCATAAAAATATATTAAATTAAAGATACATATACAGAATGTTTGTAAATAAGTGTGAAAAATTTTAGATGACTTTTTGTCGAAAATTAAGGAGGGTTTCTTATATAAACATATACTCTTATACCGTCCCTAGGACTTTTCTAAAGAGGGAGGTAAAAATTAAGTTTTTATTTTTTTCCTCAACAGACAAATAAAAAAATAAAATTTGATGGATATTTTCCACTAAAAAAAAAGGATATTTATTAATATTTTTTAAAAATCTTTGTATCGTTATAAGGGAATGAAACTAACTTTTCTTTAGAAAAGTGCAACTCCTCAGGGAGAGATATGAGAATATATGTTTATATAAGAAACTCTCATATTAATTTTCGATAAAGAATTATCTCCTATAATTTTTCACACTTATTTAGATACCTGTATAAAAGAAGATGCACATAATAAGAAAATAAAGAAGATATTAAGAGGCTCCTAGGTCTTTGCTGCAATCATGTTAGATTATGATATCAAAGACGAGAAAGCACACGCTGAAAATTCTTAGATGTGATTTTTAAATGAAAATATATTTCAATCAAACACTATTTTAGATGACTTCGACACACTTCAAAAATACCTCGAAAACTATTCTTTTTTCTTGACAGTTAATCAACAACTGAAAAATAACTGCAATATCACACTTTGTCATGGAATAACAGCATGTGCAAAGACAGAGACCTTATATTACAATTATTTTACAACTGTTGATTGATTATAATGAGAAAAGGATAGTTTTCGAAATATTTTTAAGATTGTATTAAAGCCATTTAAAGTGTTGTTTCAACTAAAATATATTTTTATTTCGAAATGGCATCTAAGAATTTTTAGCGTGTTTTCTCGTCTATGATGTCACAATTCTAACATGGTCGGTGAGAAGCCAGGAGCCTTAATATAAATAAAAGAATATACATATATAAATAGAAGATACATTAATATAAATAAAAGAAAATTAATATAAATAGAAAAATATCATATACATATGTACCGATATAAAAGTTCAGAAACTAATCCATGAGATGCTAATGGCGCAGGATCTGTGCCCCTTCTGGAAAATCTATCCGCCAGTGACGCAAAGCAACGAAGCGCTCCGTCTGCAACATGCGCATCCTCGTGTCTGAGTAACACTGACAGAGCCTCGACACAATCGGGCAAAGCTTTATCCTGTGGTTCAACTTTGCCGCACAGTCGCGTAACGACTGCCATCGCCGAATGCAAGGTATCTCGATGTACTCGCGCTCCGTGTTCTCGGATGAAGCACAATGCGCAGGGTAAACCTCCAGCTTCGAACACAGCACCCGCTTCTCTCGCGCATACAAGTTCCAACACCTGATTAAAAAAATATGAAGATGAGATTCGCTTCTTATATTTCGCTATTTATTGGGCCATTTTAATGTTCCATCTTTTTTTTCCTATGTCTTTTACAAAAACATGTTTCACACAAAAGTTGTTTGACTTAACTCAAGGAAAAAATAAAGAAAACAATTAATATAACTAATATAACAATAGAAAGTAAGTACTTGTAAGTACTATTTCGAATCTTGAAAGTATTCGATCGAAAATTCGAATATAATTGTTGAAGTTCTATTAATTCACAAATACAACATATGAAATGTATATATTTCTTAAAGTATTATTTGTTACTATTCCTTTCTACAAAACAAAACTTGATAATTGAATTCAATTTTTCAGTATATATATAATTTAATCCCATTTCTACTATTTTCATGTACATGAAATCAATTATATACCTTTATACATTGTTCTGCCAAATCCCGACTGGCTCTGGAGCCGAGTCCGGCACCAGACAGTCGACTGCAGATAGCCTTCACTGCACCTTCCATAGCTACTACTCTGCGAGTACATTCTGCAGAAACATCTAAATAATATGTAATAGCTCGAGCAGTCACTTCTAGCACACTGTCTGGTACTAATTCATCCAAGAAAATTCTGCAAAGTGCTGGGAGAAATGTGCGTGGAGGGCAACTGTAACATAAAATGTTCATGTATGTTACATATATATATATATATATATAATTTACATGTAATTATGTTAATGTTTACCATTCAAAGCAGCGATCAACATTATCGGACATGAGTAACAGCATGCATAGTTGTTCTAATGCAATTAACTGCATGTCCCTTTCATCTCCTTGACCCATACTGAGCCATTCCAACAAAGTTTCAGGGTCAACATCTGCCATCTTGAAAAGAAAAAAATATATATAATTTTTTTCTTAAATAGTGTGTAAATTAATGCTAAAAATCATTTAGTTACTTTAAAAAGAAAAAAATTTAAATTAATGTGCACATATTTGTCTATTGTAATTTGATCAAACTGACAAAGTACTTGATTACTTTATTCAGATTTGATTTAAGTAACTCGCACATTTTTCATCTTACAATTTTTATTATATAATATATATTCTTTTCATATCGCTTACCTTATACTTTGAATATATATAGCATCGATTGGCTCAATTTTATATTTAGATACTCTGAAAACTGCATAGAAAGAATCATTAAATTATGCAAATTGATAACCTACAAATATCTAAACAAAAGCAAACATGATATTAATGTCATCACAAATATTCACTATGTTTGATCCACAGTGAAAAATCATAATTTGTGCCAATACAATCTATATACATTTCTTGATCATTTTAAGATATTTTTCATTCACTTTGATGTCTAGAATACTTTTTCTTGGGTTCCAAAAATACGACAATTTGTTGCATTACGAGATATATAACAGCAAAGTCAATCTAATTCAATGAAAAGAAGATACATGTGAATTGGAATGTATGAATATTTGTACCCGATAATTATTACGATTCAAAATTATAATGAAAAAAAAGGATTGCTCGCGAAATAAGATATGAAATACGATATGATTAAGAGAGAAAAAGGGGGTACGTAACCTTTAATATATATGCTCAAATTTATTCGACTGTAAAAAGTTCGAGATAAGAGAGATGAAGAATTCATAATAAAAGTGACAAATAAAATTGTGACATTTTGACAAAGTTATATGCATATATGTATACATGTATATATGTATGTATGTGTGTATATATATATTATATATAAATATATATATATACCTACCGTTAAAACGTACCGTTGCATACAACATTCCATTCTCTTCGTGACAGGTCAACTCGCCATTCTCTTGTCAGAGACGTGCCGTTTACTAACGTGAGAAAACAGATAGATATCGTCTGTTATTTATTTCGCCCGTTAATAACGCGATCTACGTATTTCGTATTAGAAGGGTCGACTTAACAAAGCACTTTCTCACACGCTACGAGTAATTTTTTTCTCTATATATCGTCTCGTATACGTCACATACATTTCTCGTCTCTTTTTACGTACCTTGGAATATTTAATTCTCATAGATTAGAATCACGCGATTCGTTAGGCCGTATTCACACCTTGGCAGTATTACAGTAAAACCAGTATGTGCATTCCACCCTTTTTTCTAGTTTGCATCGATCCGCCATGTTTTTAGGTGGAACCAATCAGATGCAAGTTCAGTGTGATGCTGCTGTAACATCCCGTCATTTTTTCGAAACCGTATTTTTGTGCGCTACAATTTTTTCTGAATAATTACTTAAGAAATGCAATTGTATTTCTCAATATTACTATTATTATTCATTATTCATAATTATTGGGACGATTTTACTAACCGTACTAACATCTAGGGTCTTCCTAATTCTAACTAAGCGGCTCAGCCAATCGGACAGCGTCACTAGACCTCATCTGAGCGCATACTTCCAACCATACGACTAACTGAACCGCATATAGATGCAACACCAACATATTCAAAATTAAGAAATAATAGAACTTATGGAATCATAACATAATAATATAATATAATTATAATATTTCAAATACTTGAATGATTGATAAGATGCTTCAACCACCTTTTAAAAAGGGGCTTCTAGCCTTGATAAAATTATTATGAAGATTCCATAAATCTCTAGCTATGCCTAATCTGAGAAACGCCTTTTTATCGGGCGTTAACTTGTCAATTATATTCACGAAACCTTACCTTCTAGATTATTGAATAATCTCATTAAAAATGACATTTCAAGAATTTAAGATTTTAAGATCTAATCTATAATAAATAAATTACAGTAAGGTTTACGTAAATATAACAATATAAGAAAAAGGGCATATATTATATCATGTAATCGAAATATATAACCCAAACTCTCGCCGCTACATCGTGGAATTGTAATCATATAATTTAGAAATTCTCAGCGCTTCCGCTTATACATTAGCGACAATTTTTACCTTATAATTTTATTCCTCAATTTTAAGTAATATAAAATAAATTATATGAACTGTACAATTCCACGTTTGTAAGAAATAAGCATATCTATGCGCGAATTCTCTGAAATACGCTCTTTAAAATAATCATGTTGATTGAATTTATATACGTTAGTTTTAAGGCGACCTAATTCTCAGCTCTTTGTCGGCCGAAAAACCCTCGCTACTGTTTGACGCTTCTTGGAATCTGTATCTTCGCCGAATCGTTATCCACTCTCCCTCCATACCGCATCGCCTCGGTACCCTACGCGCCGAAACCCATATGCATGTCATAAATTATGCCTCTATTTGGAACTCTTGCTCTCCTAGACATTCCATTGGCTCTCCTCCCTTTTTCCACACATATCACTTACACCGATGATCTCGAGATGCAGTTTACGAAGAAACCCCCAAAGGATGCAAAGTACAAGACCTTTTTGGGAATATAAACCCTGCGGTCCCAGTATCTGAGCGGCATAATTATACTCGGCATATTACGACACACTAGATACTGCATCTCATTGTGTCACTCTAAATTTCTGTACGAAACTTTGTCACGCGTTCGCCGTCGACGACGTTGACTTTCTTCATTAATTTTTGATCGCGCATAGTTTGTAAAGTAAAGAGAGTTACAATAAAGAACTTTAAACCATTAGAATCTGTGTACCTTGATTTCGCTACGCGCATCCCGACCGAGGTCTTCTAAAGAGGTACAGGTGAACGTGCTGCAGAGCGACGGTATATAAAAATTCATCCAACGTAAGGTAAGTACCTTTCACACTAACAAAGATTTCTCTAATATATTATTTGCATGAGAATCTGAATCCTATTCAGAAGTCGCGCTAGATCAATAATTATCATCTTACTATTATTCTCCTGTGCCCTCTTCTTCTATTCTTTTATAATCGTCGAGCAGTGCATTAATTTGTTTTCTGCCCTTGATGATTTCCAGCCTCCTTCTCTATCCTTTTATAATCGTCGAGCAGTGCATTAATTTGTCTTCTGCCTTTGATGATTTCCAGCCTCTTTCCCTATCCTTTTATAATCGTCGAGCAGTGCATTAATTTGTCTTCTGCTCTTGATGATTTCCAGCCTCTTTTTCTATTCTTTTATAATCATCAAACAGTGCAAAAATTTGTCTTCTACCCTTGATGATTTTCAGTCTTTTTCCTCTATTCTTTTATAATCATCGAGCAGTGCAAAAATTTGTCTTCTGCCCTTGATGAATTTGCGCCTTCTTTCTCTATTGTCGAGCATCTTTTTTTGTCTCGTCAATGCTTTAATAATCAATGAACACTGCGTTCTGCTCTTGATTATTTTGTGCCTGCTCTATTTTTCTTTTATAATTATCGAGCAGTATAGTGCCGCCCTTGATAATTTTGCGCCTTCTTCCTCTATTCTTTTATAATCGTCGGGCACTGCGTTCTGCTCTTGACGATTTTGCGCCTTCTTTCTCTATTGTCGAGCATCTTTTTTTTCGTCTTGTCAATGCTTTAATAATCATTGAGCACTGCGTTCTGCTCTTGATTATTTCGCGCCTGCTATATCTATTCTTTTATAATCATCGAACAGTACAATTCTGCCCTTGATGATTTTCCCTCATTTCCCACCATCGAACTTCCTTCACTTCCCGAGAACTACCCATTTATTTCCCCTACTACATAAAACCAAATAAACACTCTGATCTAGACGCATTCTAACTCCATTGTAGATGAGCAACCAGAAAGCTAAAAACGAACGGCGAAATAAACGAAACCATCGAGCCGGCGTAAAGCCCGTGCAAAGAACGTAGCCGCGTGCCTGCGTTGGTTAACACGCGAACAGATTGCCAATAAACCTCGCATCAAAACAATCGAGACGGTTTCGTTCCCTCGATACATATTGCGCAGCTTCTGGAAGACTAACATTTCTCCTAATTCTGCCAACTTACAATCAGCTTTAACACCCGCGTCTAACAGAATTAAAATTAAGCCTACGGAAGGCCACACTCCAGATCTACCGGCAGCCGCTTCAGACCTATTAACTTACCTCGAATTAAATAGGGAATCTAAACCTAAAGAAGATACCTCACAAGGAGAGTTATCACCTATTGATTTAAGTACGAGACTAAAAGACCAATTACCAGAGAACAATATGCAAATAGACCAATACACAGCCTATTTGCAAAATTAAATTAAGTACATTTGTATATTCATATAAAATATCTAATAAAATGAAATAAAACTACCTATTTGTTATTTCAAATAAAACCTAAATTTTCGGATAAGACTGTACAAAACCTCAGGAAAATAGGTCTTTATTCTATTATTGATATTATTATTGGACTATTAATTGACTTAGCTACGGGATTAATAGATGCCGATTTATTCGCAGTCCTCATAGAAAATCTTTATATTTCCAAAGGGAAATTAAGAGTAGAAATTATAAGATATCCTGAGGATAATTTTGATCCCTTTTTCTAAATTATAAATGAATTGCACAATTGTCGGTAGAACTATAAACGAGTTTATGTTAAAATTGTTATTCGAAGCATTAGTTGGCGTCATTTGTGATTTTATGACGGGCGATTTGACCGCCGACGAAGTAATCTCCATTTTAGAAAATTTCAAGAATCTTACACGAGATTTCGCCACGCCTACTAGTGACTCTAATTCCCCATCCTAATGCCTTCCCATTCCCTAGATCTCCAACATCAGTCCTAGCTCTCGGCGTCCCTGGGGTATAGCCGGTGTAAGCAGGTTGCCCCGCAAAAAATAGAGAGCGCCCTCTTTTCTTCCTAGCCTAGGCGTAGGAAGAGAAAAGGAACCATTGTCCGGACGTGACACTGCGACGTCCTGTCATTGGTCGAAACCCTAATTTTTTCGCGCTAACATTATTTCTTGCGAGAACCTATATAATCAACTATTTTGCGAATGATCTAACTAAGAATTAGGCGTTTTTATCATTTATCGTTAGCAATACCAACATAGTCTTTTAGTTGTAACTAGTCTAGGGACTAGCAACGCGACCAATCCAACACAACAAGCGCATACCTATAAATTACTAGTCGTCGCCATCTCTTGCAACCCTAAGGGTGCGATTACATGGACGCGCGGAAACGCGGAAGAGAAAGTAACTAAACTTTACTAGAGTCCCGCATTTCCGCGCGTTCCGTTCCGTCTGTTTTGATTGCCTTATATTACATGGAGCACATTTTGAGCGGAAAAGCGGAACGGGGAATTATAAAATATTAATATTTAACTATATTTATTGATTAAAATGCTTGTATTCAATAGATAAGTTGAAAAGAACATATTAAAAGGAATTACAATGAATTAAGTAAATATAAATTTAAAAAATTAATACAAATGTCTATTTGTCACTATACCGTTCCGCTTTTCCGCTCAAAATGTACTCCATGTAATATAAGGCAATCAAAACAGACGGAACGGAACGCGCGGAAATGCGGGACTCTAGTAAAGTTTAGTTACTTTCTCTTCCGCGTTTCCGCGTTTCCGCGCGTCCATGTAATCGCACCCTAACGCCATTCTCCCATCAACACCATTTAAACCCATTGCCTATGTCGCGCGCCTTGCCGCCCTGATGTAGATCGTTTCCTCAATCTTCGAGAAACCTATCGTCTATGTTGCGCGCCTTGTCGCCCTGATGTAGATCGTTTCTTCAACTTCTGAGAAACCCATTGTCTATGTCGCGCGCCTTGCCGCCCTAATGTAGATTGTTTCTTCAACTTCTGAGAAACCCATTATCTATGTCGCGCGCCTTGCCGCCCTAATGTAGATTGTTTCTTCAACTTCTGAGAAACCCATTGTCTATGTCGCGCTGGAAGGGGAATAGGAGCGCAAAACTGTGTCCAAGTTGGGTGCGAGAGAAAACCACGTTTTTAAGGAAAGAGAAGGGTAGATTGTTACCTCCGTTCGCAATGCGCAAACGCGAATTAGCGAAAGCACCAATTACATTTCCAGTTTCAAACGGCGCGGTGAGCGTTACCGTGACGTCATGTACGTTTGCGCATTGCGGATAAAGGTTAAAAGCTATCTTTCTCTCTTGCACCAAACTTGG